CATGTACCATGAAGCCCCAAGTATGCAGTGCTGGAGCTCAAACCCAGGGCTCCCTGCATGCCGGGTGAGTACTCTGAGTGCACCCTAGTCCCTCATTAGTGGGATTCTTAAACATTCCTGTGTTTTGACAAATATTTATTTTTATACCAAGAACAGGGAGGGGAAATGCCATGAAACAAAATTAATCTCCATTCCTTTGTGTGCGTGAAAGGAGGATGAATGTGGACATCAAAGCTGTGGCTTGAAACCATGATTTAACCCAATTTGTTAAACATTGACAACTGTTAAGTACAAGGATTAAGGCACTTTATTCCAGGCATGTTTTATCCCACCCTGCTTATTTAATCAAAGATGTAAGCATGCCCCCTTTCCATAACAACTTTACTTACTTGCATTTTTAATTGACAAAACAATGCAAGCCTGATGTTTTGTGTGCATGTGTTCCTGTCTGTGGAGACGGGAGGTCAGCCTTAGATGTTGTTCCTCAGGTGCCTGCTCTTGTTTTGAGACAGGTAGGGTCTGTCACTGGCTTGGAGCTTGCCAAGTGGATTAGGCTGGCCTGCGAGCCCTGGGAATCACCTATCTTTGCCTCTCCAGTGCTGAGATTACAAGCATACTCCCCCATGCTTGCCTTTAAAAGTATTTTATTTTTGTCCGGCAGTGGTGGCGCACGCCTTTAATCCCAGTACTCGGGAGGCAGAGGCAGGCAGATCTCTGTGAGTTCAAGGCCAGCCAGAGTGAGTTCCAGGACAGGCTCCAAAGCTACACAGAGAAACCCTGTCTCAAAAAAACAAATACACACACACACACACACACACACACACACACACACACACACACACACACACACACCGAGTTTTAAAAAGCATGTGTATATGATTGTGTCCATGAGTGGGTGTGTAAGAGCTGTGCCCACAGAGCATATCAGATCTCTTGGAGCTGGAGTTACAGGTGACTGTGAGTGGCCTGATGTGGGTACTGGGAACTAAACTTGAGTCCTCTCCAAGAGCAGCAAGCACTTTCAACATCTTTCCAGTTCTGTCCCACCCCCAACCCCCTAAAGGCAGGGTCTCACCATGTTGTATGGCATATTTCTTTAACATTGTTAGAGTTTCTATTGCTGTGAAGAGATACCATGACCACAACAACTCTAAAAAAGGAAAACATTTACTTGAGGGGGTGGCTTACATTTTCAGAGGGTTAGTCCATTATCATCATGGTGGGACATGGTGGCATGCAGGCAGACATGGTGCTGGAGTTGAGCGTCCTACATATTGATATGCAGGTAACAGGAAGTGGTCTGAGACACTGGGAGTGGCTTTAGCATATGAGATCTCAAAGCCCGCCTCCACAGTGACACACTTCCTCCATCAGCCATACCTTCTAATAATGCCACTCCTTTTGGGGACCATTTTCTCTCAAACCACCCCAAACATGAAGGCTACTTCTTTCCTTGGCCTCCTGGTATGAACACAGACTGCCTATGAACAATGACCTCCGCAATACTCATACACGTTTGGGATTTTTGAGGTCCAGCCTTGGGGGTCACAGAGAAAGACGCATTCTTGTTGGATCGGCCAGAGCTGGGGAGACTTCCAGGTAGGTATTGTTTCACCGGCCTCATAATCACCACACCCTCACCTCAAGTGATGAAAGTCTTAAAGAGACTATCGTTGAGGACTGAGAGGCCAAAAGCAGCCAAGCAGAATCAGTCTCCTACCTCTTCACACTGGAGCTCCTCCAAGCACCAGCTCCCTCATCCACACAACGGGACTGGGACATGAATTAGGAAGACTGAAGGAAGGAAGATCATAGAATCCTTAACCCAGTGATCCGTAAAAGTCAACCATTCCAATGACTACAGGCCAAGCGACTCTCAGGTGCAGAAACCTTTGAGTCACCTGCCTCGCCTCTTATCTGTGTCTTTTTCCTCTGCCTCCCTGTGTTGGGGGGGGGCAGGCACAGGGAGGGTGGGGCGCTGGCTGGATACAGTGGGCTGTTCACACCGTGAGGCTTCCAGTGTGTTCAATTAGAGATGGGAAAGAAAAGGGTGGTTGCAAGTTGATCCCCAATCTGGCTCCTTCCTTGCCATCGTGCTCCTCAGATGGCATGGAGATCGGATTTCCCAGCAGGGAGCCCTCTACAATTTCAGCCCCACTGCCAGCCTCGCCCCTTCCAGCTGCCAGTGCCCTCCCAGTCTGGCCAGCGAGTTATGAGGAGTTTCAGGCCACCCTGCGCTCACCCTCTACTAAAGTCCTGGGTTCAAATGTTCTCTGCAGCTGCCGGCTGAACACCAGGCGTGGTATCACTAAGACAGGCTAGGTGAGGTCTGACCAACAGACTTTGAAGTGGAGAGAGAAAGGTGAGGAGAAAGTGACCCAGCCAGCATTTGGTAGCACACCACACCATACAGGAAGTGATGATGTAAGTGACCGGGCTGTGGCCATGTTGGTCAAACTTGGCTTGTGTCTGACAGTCACAGACTTTTATGATTTCCCCTGCTCAGGACAATTTCACCTCTGGAAACAAGTTGCCAGTGGACCATGGGGTTTTTCTCATCATTAGTCGATCCTCATCATTAACAGTTACCCAGCCATCGGCTTACAGCACAGTTTGCCAAGAACTAGGTAGGCCACTCCTGAGGCACATCAGGCTGCAGACAAACACGCTGCGTGAGTGTGTAACCAATTTCAAAGGGACTGTTTTACATCGGGTTCCTTAATTGGGCCAATGGTGTCCTGAGAAGCACTAGGCTGTGCCTGTCCGGAATTTTGACTATTCTGGGCATTTCATGGAAGTGTAATTGTGCAAGAGCTGGTCTTCTGTGTCTGACTTTGCTCACTTACTGTATTTTGAAGGTTTATCCATGTAGTACAGTGCCGTCAGCGCTCAGCCTTTAACAGTCAATGTATGGAGATACACACATTACCCGCGTCACTTGGGCGTGTGTATTATTTCCACTTTTAACCACGGCATACCTAACACTATGTACACCTGAGAACCTATTTGATTTTCTTGGGTTCTGTGATGGTTCCTATCAACTAGAAACACCAAGGGAACTAGGTTCTGGGCATACCCTTTCAGGGAGTGCTGAGCTCCCCTCCAGGGGTTAGATACTGGATCCCAATTCATCTCTGCAGGAGGTGGCTATCCCGTTTGTCCATGTCACTTGCTTCAAAGGCTCTTCTTCCAAGGAACCATTTCAACATGTTAATTGACAATTACCATAAATGTAGCCCTCATTCTGTTGGGGACGGAGGGGGGCTTTCTGTTCCCATGAATCCTAGGACCCCTTGGCAGTTAGCCTGGCAGCAGCTGCCTGCTACTTACTGACCAGAGCTGGGATCACTGCATCCTAACAGTCCACTCCTTTATTGAACCTTTAAGTCTTAAAGTTTCCTGATTTATAGTTTGCAGTGTTCAGTATATATATATATATATATATATATATATATATATATATATATATATATATATATATATATATATATGTTGTTGTTGTTGTTTTTCGAGACAGGGTTTCTCTGTGTAGTTTTGGTGCCTGTCCTGGATCTCGCTTTGTAGACCAGGCTGGCCTCGGACTCACAGAAATCTACCTGCCTCTGCCTCGAGTGCTGGGATTAAAGGCTTGAGCCACCACCACCTGGCATGTTTGGAATTTATTTTGTTTAAGTTTCAAGTATACTATTCTTCTGCTGCTACTGTAAGGGGAACTGCTTCATTTTTTTCTTAGACTGCCTATTGCTTGTGCATAGAAATAACGCGTATTTGTACTGGATTGTTTTCTTTTAATCAGGTTTATCCACAAATGTGCCGTTATCTTCCATCCTTTCAGTGCTAGAGAGCATCTTTCACTCCATTTTGACCCATGTTCTAATTCTAACCAAAATTACTTCGACTGAAGCATTGTTTTTCAGACAAAATTATTGGCTAAAATTTTGAAACTTGAGGGCAAAAATAAAAGACCTTTGTATTTCCTTGAAAATGAAACTTTAGCTTTTGACGTCATCTGGCTCATGAAATAACATTTGTCCAATCTTGTATTTCTGTAATGGTGGTCAGGCATACTTTCTGCGGTAATTAAGGGGGAAGCCACAACCATGTCCCTATCTGGCCACAGCCAATTTGCTTCTGTGCTTCGCACACTGTTCAAATACCATACACAGGCAATATCTGCGGATTCGGAGTTGTGAGTTTCAGCTCTATGGGCTTCCTGATGGCGCATGTTCTTTCAAATCACACGTCACTTCCTCCCTGCTGTCCCACTTAGTAGGTCAGATGAATTTCTAGTTACTTTCCTGGCATAACAGACTAGGGGACTTTTTAAAATGACATTTGTTTATTTAATGTGTGTGGATATGCATATGCTATGGTATGCATGGAGGCCAGAGGATAGAGACCATATGCAGGTCTTCATGCAGGTCTAGAGGATCAAACTGGATGTTTTTAGGCTTGGCACCAGCCACCTTTACCCGCCAAGCCATCCTGCTGGCTTTTATCTGGGTGTTCAGCATAGGACATTCCTTACATTTAGAGACAAGCAGGACAGCCTTAGCTTCAGGGGGAAAGGACTCTCAACAGGCAACCAGGAACATTTAGAACAAAACAAAATGAACTGTCAAAAGAGGCAAACAGCAAGCCAGGGGCTGGGAGGTGGGATGGCTCAGTGGCCAGAACATTTGCTGTGCAAGCAGAAGGATCTGAGTTTAGATCCCCAGACTTCAACACAAATGTTGTGTGTGTGGTGGCTTACCTGGAATTCCAGGTCTGGAAGGCAGGGGTAGGGGATTCGTAACAGCAATGGCCAGCAGGTAGGCCATATCAATGTGCTCTGGGATTGACTGTGAAACCCTGCCTCAAAAATAATATGGTAGACCCAGAGGAGGATTCTTAAGACGCATACAACGTGCACACATGCCCACACACGAGGATGCCTACACACATGCAAAAATACTATGCACACACAGCCGAAAAGAAAAAAAAAAGCAAGTTAAAACATCTAACAGATAACCTGACATTTATTGTGCAATTTTATCCCCAACAGAACATGTGGCATTCTAGAGGTATATGAGGTAAGAAAATCAATATTCCAATTAGAACACCTGAAATAATTAGCTCTAGTAACAAATGTCTCTTATAATTAAAAATATTGAATGCTTAAAAAACTCTTATAACATTTTAGGTTCCTAAAAGAAATGGCCTAACACTTAAAAAACAACTTACTCTTCTATATAAATTGTTCACAAAAGATTTTTGCTATCCTATATTATACTATGCATTTTTAGCTTTATTCACATATCCCTAGTGTGTGTGAATTCTACACAGTACAATCCAATAGAAAGTATTCAGAGAAGCCACAGGACTCCAACAATAAAAATATTAGGATCAATGGATTTATCACAGTTTCTCCACAAGTATTCATCATAGAAAATAGAGTAAAGGCAACTGGCCCCAGGGTTAGCTGCTACATGCCATTCTGCAGAGGAGCCACATGGAGGTGAGGCTTGGCCTGGGCAGGGTCAGGCCGAACAGTGACCGAGTCCCTGCCCACCTCCAGCAGGCCTTGCTCCCAAGAGGCAGAAGCCGGGCCCCTCGTGGCTTTGGCATGCTCTCAGAGGATGTTAAAGCTAAAACTACGGGGGCAGACTCAACAGGTCACTATATTCTTGACACAGTCTCTACAGTTCTCACAGTGGCATCGTCAGTTAAAGCCGCCCGTCCCACGGAATCACCGAGTGTCCCCAGGAGGCTGCGAAACCAGTCACACACAGAGATGGGAACGCTGGCCGATACCCAGGGCCATCACCAGGCGCTCCCCAAGATGCTCTAGTGTGTATGGGGCACCTAGAACACCAGTGGAAAGGAGCCAGACTTCTGATGTGTCCATTTCCTTTAAGTTTCCGGTCTCCCTCACAGGATGTCACCCCGGCCACGTCTCATGCCAGCCCTGTAAGAACTCCTGGAGGCCTGGGCTCCACATACTTGTTATTTAAGCACCTGCATGCTTCCAATGTAGATTTAGTGATATAAATACCAGCTTTTCCTCGATAGCATCAGGAAAAAAAAGTTCACTCCAAAGTGTTGGCACACATTGAGAGCGATGCTTGATTAGGGCAAACAGAAAGGGCCATTCTGCTTACTGAGCTCAAAGTGACCTCCAGTGAGCACCCTGGGCAGCTGTGCAGGTTATAAGGAAGGATGCATTAAAGTGCTTATCGAAGCTACTAGCACACAGGAAATCAAGAGTTACACTTAGGTTGCTGTAGTTAACTATTGCCATGGGAGTGCTTTCCAATGGGACCCAACCGTTCTGCAACATGTGGAGGGAGGCACATCGGGCCACCTGTACTGGTGCTACTATTCAGAGTGACCCAGGTTTGAGAATGGGTCTCGCTAGCAGATATCCTTTCGTTGCCATTTGGGAAACTGTGATTCAATAAAAGCACAGCCCTTACAGCAGCCATGGAAGCTCAGAAGCAAAGTTTTTGGTAATTTACTGCCTTCAATAGTCAAGGGTGACAAAGCCAGTCACTAAATATGAGAATTCCAGTTCTCACTATTTCCCAAAATTCAATATACTATGGAGAGTGTGCAAGAGACCTCTAATGTGTAAATGCATCAGCTAAAGTTTTAAACTTCACTTTTAAAAAAGCGGTGATGAGTATTATTTTTGTCCTCCACATTGCCGATGTCAATTCTTCCCTCTCCTGTAAAACACACACACACACACACACACACACACACACACACACACACACACACACACACACGCACACGCCCCCTGGCGGATAATGCAAAGTAGCTTTGTGATCAGCTAAGTGACATTTCCCTCCAGTGTTTCAAGTGTTATTTTTATCCAGTACTTATACGACTGACAGAAGTCACCACTGTGTTTACAAAAATACATCATAATGACACACACTGCTGTTTCGACACATTTGCACTGGAGTTGTGACTCAAGCATCCCTCCTGACGTGTTTGCCAAGCAGCTTTGGCAAGCGTCGCCACAATAAACACACACCAGCAAGACTCACTCCGTATGTGCAAAACCATTTTCTATGACATTTCTCCAGATTCACATGTGAAAGCTGTCACAAATGAACACAGACCTGTACTGTGAGATGGTACAGCACTGTCAGAGGAAACTATACATTTAAAACCTTTTCTAAAAAGTCACCAAAAAAGGACCTTCAAACCAAAAAAGGGAACTACTGTCTATACAGAAACTAAGGAGGTAGTCAGTGGGTGTCAGGGTTAGACGAGCACAGACTGAATGTTTAACCCCCTTCACCAAAAGAAAGAAAAATAAAAAAAAAAAAAAGAAACAGAACTCAAATGAGTGAACGCTTGTGTTCTGGACATGGTTCACATCTTCCCACGAGCTCCATCCACTTTCTCAGAGGTGAGAAAAGAGGCACAAGTCATTAAATGGCAGAGATATGTAGAAACCACAAACCTGCAGATTCCTAAGTCTGAGTTATTGTTTAGACTTTGTGTAAACATCTAATATTTCAAGAATCACTACTGGACTGAGTAATAATAAAGTCCTATTGCTATCCGTGACCATAACCTAATGCCATGTAGAGTAGTTGTGTCAAATACAATCGTAATTACATGTCTCCTTACCATCCTGATAGGGTCAGGGATGACACATGGACCACCCACTGTGACATGCATCCCTCAACACCTGACCAAGAGCTGACAGCACTCTTGTGCTCCTATGCTCTCGGCTACCTTCTTAGGGAAGTCTTATGAAACACATGGTCAAAGTCCCCCAAATGCTGTGATGGACGAGGAATAGGGCTAAGGCCTGGCACACACACTTTCAAGCAAGGAAAAAAAAAAAAAGCTACAAATTGAAACGCTTCAGTTTTTTTTTTTTTGATACCATGAGAGGCTGAACAGTACACCCACAAAGAGGCTGGTGAGACATGTGACCTTATCAAATCCTTGTTGAACACTGTTCCCTTCTACAGGTTCCTGGTCCCAGTCCCTGACAGGTCATCCCAGGGTCAGCCTCCTCTTGGCAAGATCTGTGCCCGGGGCATCAATCACCGAGAGGCAGGCATTTTAATTTGGAAAATGAAGAATACACCATGACGATGTCACTATTAACTATGGAACTTCTGATAGCCGGGACACTGGACCTACCTAATCACTGACAGAAAACGTCACATTTAGTCACGCCAGCCTGGCAACCACATTTTTCTCACCGATGAAACGGCACAGCTGCATCCCGAGCTGTTTTTAACTCAAGTCTCCTTCAAACCAACACTAAATGACTCAGGGTAATTCTAAGAGTTGACAGAGGGCTAAGTTTTGTGTTGGGAGAGCAATGTGTCTGACTGCCAGAATGACGTGGAAAATCAAACCAAGTTGACAAGACAACATCCTCAGACCTCCAAACACTAAATCAAAGGCTTGTGGAGAAATGAGAGCAGTCTGATCCATGGTGAGTTCTGAATTCCTGCCAGAGATGGCACCTTTTGCAGGCTGATTTAACACTCAGGTGACCACCCAGGAAACCATCATGACCTGAGTAGCACCCCAGCCTTAAATGGAAGAAGCCAGCAGAGTATTGAGACAGGTCTAAGGGATCACCTGTTGGTATCAGGTAGTGGACTAAGCTAAAGAAAACAGCAGTTGCATAGAGAGGCAGGAAAAACGGACACCTGACTGGGGCTGAAGACCGCAGGTCCTGGGCCCAGGATACACATGGAAACTGGCTGCAGATGCCGAGGAGGTCAGCGCTGCGGTTCTTAGCGTCCTCATGCGTACAATGGCCAGCATCACGCCACTGTTTCAGAACTGGTTACTTGTGGGCAACTGCTGACAGAGCGTTCACTGGGAGAAGGGAGCAGCTCAGGAGAAGGGCGGTGGCCGGCCTAGCAGCAAGGGCGCCCTTTCAGGCGGCAGAAACAACAGCCTGTCTGGAGGTTCCAGTCCCGGCCCCACAGCTGCAGTCAGACAAAGGCTCAGAGGTGCCCCAAATGCTCCTGTCACCCCTAGTGACAACCTGCACCACAGCGGGCTCCAAGAGGGTGCACAGAAGGTGTGTGCAGACACCTCAAACTCACAGGGGAAAGCTACAGCCTGCAAGTCTGCATTCCTTAAAAGCACCTGCTAACCATGGCTGCTGTAGCAAGGACCATGTACCCAGGAGGAAGAGGAACTGAAGCCCAGTGCAAAGGGGAGATGGGAAGGCAGATGAGGCGATGGCGGGCTCCCCCAAGGCTTTATGGCATTGGGAGTTTCCTAGGACAGACTTCCCAGACCTCTGATCACACATTAAGAAATACCCACTTCTCTTGGACTGCCAAAGACACTGCTCTCATCCACTGTAAATGACAGCTCACTTACTCAGTTTCTTTTACTTCTAAACTGCTCAGCTGATTTGTTCAAAGTCTGATGCTAAATATTGAATATAAAAGATATGTGATTTATTTTGGCAAAAACAGCCTCACCAAAAGTCCTTTTCTAAATGGATACAGACTGAATTTCTATCCCATTTTCAAAGTTGTTCACTGTGTTTGTAGTTGACATTCACAATCTTCAGTGAATGCTGCCCATTTAGCTCTTGGGTCCACAAAGAACATTAATCTTGACTTGTTTGGTAGAGTGAGTCTCATCCTTATCAGAAAGGATTATAGCACCTCTGTAGCCTCTGCTGGGAAGTGGTTCCCAGGGTACCACTAACCTCACGTACATTTCCACAGATTAACCAGGGAAGCAGAACAGTAACTCAGAGCTTAGGCTGCAGAGGACTTGTGGGGAGAGGAGAGGCACAGCTGGATGAGGCGTTTTCATCCATGACAATGGAAACAGAAGTTTCACCTATTCTAAAGCTCCACTCAGTCCAGACAGGTCCTCAAGTTTCAGAGAAATCCCCAACAAGCCATTGCAGTTGTCAGAACGGCCTTGAAGCTGCATGTCCACAATGCCAGACCCCTGACCAGCAGCAGATGCCATCAGTCATGCCCTGTGCTTGAAGATCTTACCAAACAGCTAGCTAGTGCGCATTCTCACTGAACCCTATGCTACCCTGGCATTTTGTTGACCAAGTATGACTTAAGGCTATGGATGCTGTGCATCAAGGAACTTATGAAAGGAGGCATGTGAAAATGGTTTAGATCCCGTTTCCTAAAGATATAAAGAAAATCTGCTTGTAAACCACAGAAACCAGGCTGCCTTTCTGATCAACACAGTGAGTTTTGTCTATAACAGAAAAATAGCTGACCTCCACTTAACCATCCATAGACATGGCCTCTGTTCTCTGGCTTCTAATCAGTAAGTTGTAATATATGGAAGCTTACAGTGTCACCAATCCTGTGTCTTTGGAAAATTGAAACAAGACTTACTTGAACTAAGTAAGAAAATGCTTGCTGCTTGTCCCTTAAAACAACTCTGTCTTCCCTTCCCCCATGCGCAGGAACACTAACTGAACCTTCCCAGGAGACCAGCTCTGCTCAGGAGGCCAGGCTGACCTGAAGACTCGGGACAGAAGACATCCTCAATGTCTAGCTAGTAAAGACTTTATGTCAACTGAACCTTTGCCTCTGTGATATAATACACCCCAAATCTACTGCCGGTGCCAGAGACTTCCCAAAGACCCCTCAGCTGGATTTCTATTTGGGAACCGTGGCAGTGGGTCACAGTCTTAAGCTCGAGAATTGTGAAGTATGACAGAGTAACATGCTTTGGACGCTAAGGTAACAAGGAAGAGCACATTCACAACTGGAACTCTGAAACAGAACAAAACAGAACGCCGCTGCGTGGGTGGGAAGACTGTCCGCTAGTCCCCCGATCCATCCTGGGAACTCTTGTTGAAGACCTCATCTTGGGAAGCCTGGTGATCCATTCCTTCATAAAACGAGCCGCCGTTGTGCAGGAAAGTCCCCACTGCCCGCCCCTGCCGGGCGTGACCCACGGCGTCGCTGAACACTTTGTTTATTTGCTCCTCCGAGGGCATCCACCAATCGGGGTTGGAGGTACAGTGCATCCTAATGAACTCTGTGGGGAAACAAACAACAGTAAGAGAGAAAAGAGCTGGCTCCTCTGTTGACAGATGCTGACGGACAGAAAGGCTGCTCTATCTACCAGACATGTTACGTGGGGTCCAGGGCAATGCCACGACTGTCACTCGCTACAACCAACCTACAACACCCCCACCCCTGTCCCCCGCCAGTGCTCCCCTGTGTAAGAGCAAAAGCCACCCTAAACCTCTAGGGAGTATCTGCTGCTGAAGACAAAGGTGTCTTCCTTAACTGCTCTTTGCCCAGCTTTTGATACGGATCCCGGGGATGAACTCAGCCCCTCGGGCTCATGCGGCAAGCGTTTTCCCCCCTGAGAACCATTTCCCCCGAAGGGATATGGTTGACTGAGTTTTCATCACTTTGGCTGCACAAGTAAGGAGCCCAAGCCCAACGCTGCCGCTGCGTGAGCAATGCTACCACCTTTGATGATGCTGGGGAATCAGGGGAATTATGATCGATTAGCTAAATAACAGAGATTCTAGAAATTTCCATCAGCTGGTCACGCTAAGTAAGTGGAATTTTCCTACTAAAGCCCACCGATCGCTTTACAGCACTGATACTCGTTAATGGTGGTGTTCTCGTGGCAGTGACTTCCCCAAGCAGGGGGCACCTGCATAAGAGTCATGTAGGATGACTGAGAGCCATGCATGCACCAACCCTTCAGTCCCTGCCCAACAGGAATCTGTGGGGTAAGCTAAAGATGCCTAGCTGCTTCCCAACAGGACATGTATACTTCCACAGCAGGGATTACAGAGCTCCAATGTCTAAGAGAAGGCTGTGTCCTGGGGTGAGAAGAGGCAAGCCTTCCAATCGTTAAAGCCTTAAGAGTGATCTATACCTACCTACCTACCTACCATCTACCTACCTACCTACCTAATAAATTGTGACTTTCACTAGGAAAAATTTAGATTCCTATCCAGATTAAATCAACATGTCTTTCTAGTCAATAAAATGAGTACTCAGCTGTGAAGGGTCTTCTGGTGTGTTTTTGGCTTTGTGTTCCAGGACAAGCAGTGTTCTGGGGACCCTATCATGTTCCTACTTGTCTGTGTCTGCTGAAACCTGTCCCATAAACTGCTAGTTCCCCAACCTTTGCCTGACCTGCAACTGTGGAGACCAAAGCAGTCACCCAAAATACTGACAAAACTGTGTCAGCGAAGCAGAATTTTAACATAGACGCTCTTTTTTTTTTTTTAAACCTAAAAAGGGTTTATGGGTAAAGTCTACTTCCGGTATACTTTGCATGTATTACTAAAGAAGCAAGCCAGATGATGGCCCATGGAAGCAAAATACCCTATAGCCAATTACAAAATGGCCCCTCTTCTCTCCCTGTGCCTGTCTTCCTATGCTCCAGTTTTGCTGAATGTGGCCTTCTCTGGCAGCAAAGCAAATCTGAACGGAAAGCGTGAAACATGAGGTGCTATGTGATGCCTTTGTACCATTATGTGAAGACGAGGCGAAAGGAAAGAGCCGTTCACAGAGCTTTTCAACACCAAGGAGATGGGCCACATGAAGCTTAGAAGGTCTTGGTGCAAAGATTTAAAAAAAAAAAAATCAAAATACAGTAAGGGCTGCACACTTGTGTGGGGAGCCACAGCCAATGCAGTGAAATGGGGTCACGGATGATGGACACTGAGGGGAAGGATGCGGTACCTCGGAGGCACGTGACTTTAACTGGATCCAGAGGGCGTCTTTCAGGACCTGTCTCTCCTGACTGCACTGACCTTTTCCTTTTCCCAAGGCCGCATGAGTACTTAAGCTCATCGGTTGTGAAAACAAATCTGATGAGGTATCGGAGGAGCCGTCTCCCATCTTTCTTGGAAGAATTTACAGCCTCGTCCCACTGTTTGCTCGTTATGTAGACAGGATAGTTGTTCAACAGCTGCTTGCTTCCCTGGAAAAGGAAAATATTTTCTCATTACCTACTGAGCCAGCCAGCCAGAAGCCAAATGATCTCCATTTCAAAGGCAAACACGCTTTTAAAGCAAGTGGCTATGCCGACAATGAACCGGGCACTGAAGAGCACGAGTAATTGCTCACACTCAGAACGGGCACTTTTCAAATTACATTTGCATTTTCTATAACAAGAGCCAATGAGGTATAATGAACACCTTTGAAAGAGGAGCTATTTATAACTCGCCTTTTAACAGGTAGGTTAAAATGTGTCAAGATCCAATGACAGGGAGCACTCTTTAAATATAACCTGTAACTTTCCCTTTCAATCTATTAGATATGCAGAAATGACTTTGAAGAGTGTGATCAAACAGGCCCCTGCATCCTCTGGCTGCCAGTTCTGTTCCTAGAGAAACGGTGCCGAGCAGTCTATTTCGATAGGCGTGACTTGTGTCTGAGGCACCGAACACACACACACACACACACACACACACACACACACACACACACACACACACACACACACACGACTGTCGTGGTATAACAGAGCAAACATGAAAAGAGTGGGTTTAAAAGGAGGAAACTGGAAAAAAATAAATGCAAAACAGCTTTTCTCAAATTGTAGCTTCTGCAAATGCCAACGTGTCAACTAAAAATTTTCTTACTTTTCACCTTCATAATTTATGTCTGCTGTAAAATTCCCAAGCTAAATGGCTGCAGTGGGACTAATTACGGGGACTTCTGTAACATTTATAAGCCGTGTTTAGTCAATTGCACCCACGCAACCATTACTTTAGTTCTGGCTGTCCATAAAATTCTACAGTCCAGGACAAATTAATTAACCCATGATCTCAGTTTTAATAAACTTCTTCCCCAGTAATTAAGGTGTACAAAATGAAAAAAAAAAAAAAAGGGAAACCCATTCAGTTTTACAACTCTGAAAATTTACTGCGGGTTATAAATTTCGTACTGTTTGAGTCTGGCAGGGTTGTATTTCAAAAACTGCTTGCTTAGTTAAGCATGGAGCAGGTATTGGGAAGAACACCAGAGCAGGACAGCGAGGATACATCTGACTTGGAAGCAGGCACTGGACAGTGCACACAGAAACTCATCTCTTCAACGTTCTCCTGCCGTGACAGTGAGACTTAGTTCCCTTTAAGGAAGGCAGCTGAGGTCACGGTTTGTGCACCGAATTTAGAAGACAGGCGAGCTTTAAAATGAACTGGGTTCCATGGCTTACTAACTTTGACAAAGCTACCTGAACTTGTTGGAGTGGCCATAGGTAGTCAACAGGTGGTAGCATCCAAAACCCTGGGCTCTGGGACCTTGTGCACACGTGTGATCAGAAATCAGGAGCCCAGGGCTCGTGGGTTCTTTCTGCTGCCCTTCAGTAGGAGGAGGTGAGAATTCGACATGAAGGAATGGGGGAGCCAGGCCAGCAGTGTGGTTAGCCAGCCTGTAGACCACAGAGTCCTACTTGAGGGAAAGGGTGGTGAGCCGCATGGCCGATGCAGAAGGGAGAATAATCCACTGCTCCTCATGGACACAGGAAGGGGCTTAGTGGATCTCCAGCAAATGACCTTTCCACCCAGGCAGTTGGCGGAGCTTGAGGCGGGTGGACTCCCAACTGGCCCAGGACCACTCCTCCTAAAGCATTTTACAGAAGTCCCTTACGAACAGCTGCACTACTTACTGAACAAACAATTAACCATCAGTCTAAGGCACGGCCCCAGGCAGTGCAATTGGAGAGGAGGGGCAGGGAGGGACTGGCACTGGAGAGATGGCTCAGATGTTAAGAATACCAATTGCTCTTCCAGAGGGCCTGGGTTCAATTCACATGGCGGCTCACAACCATTTGTAATTCGAGCCCCGGGGCCTGAGGGGACTAGGTAAACACATGGTCCACATACACAGGTGAAAACAAAACACCCATTAGCGGAACCAAACCCAAACAACGCAATTATAAAGTTGGGCCATGGGTTCAGCCCTGGAGAGACTATTCTCAACTTCAGTTCTTTACTGTCAAAAGGGGGTCAACAATACCACATTCACCAAACATGATGGCCATTCACATCTGTAACCCCAGCACTCTAGAGTCTGAGGCAGGGGATCTGTTCAGAGTTCAAGGCCAGTTTCAGTTATATAGTGAACTCTAGGGCAGTTTTGTGAACAGAGTGAGATCCTGTCTCAAAAGAGATAAGAAAACAAAGGGACAATTGCAGATTCCCAGTTTCTGTTGAGGTGTGTCCATCCATCTCCCACCACAGACTCCGAGGGCCGGGACGTGTGTGCTCCATGCAGTAACCTCTCCGAGTCACGAAGCAGGTGCAGTACACTGGCCAAGTGAGTGATGTGGCCCAAGATTACTGACGTGACCAGCACAAAGCAGATGCCTGGCAACAGTGGATGTAGTTAAGAGTTTAAAGCCAGGGGCTGGAGAGATGGCCCAGTGGTGCAGAGCAGTGGCTGCTCTTCCACAGGACCTGCACTCAATTCCCAGCACCCACATGGTGGCTCACAAGCATCTGTTGCTCCAGTCCCAGGGAATCTAATGCCCTCTTCTGGCCTCTATGGGCCCTGTATGCACACAGTGCAGACATATGCAGGCAAAATACCCACACATGAAAAATAAAAATGAAGGTTAAGAAAAAAAATCAAAACCCCTCCTCTTACAGTCCCTGTGAACACATTCATCATTAACCTTAGAAGAAAACTCCACAGCTACTTCTTGAACTCTTTATTTTCTATCATCATCATCCTCACCATCATCCTCACCACCATCATCATCACCATCATCCGCACCACCATCATCATCACCATCATCCGCACCACCATCGCCATCACCACCATCACCACCACCACCATCATCACCACTATGACGATTATCATCATCATCCTAATATACCTGTTTCCCTGGGGTTGGGGTGCTTACCCTCAAGGAAAAGTTATGGCTATTTTACCAAGGTTGTATCCTTCCCCAAAGAGTCACAAGTTCTTAAGTGAGGTGGGATGGGGGAAGGCTGAGTTTTTCACTCATCCCTTAATACTGAGCTGTGCCCCTAAACTGTGTCCATTTCAAGATGAGGGTGTTCGTGATTAGGGAGCTGGTAATCAAATCTTTGAGAAAATCATAGCAGAGTCCTATGCAACTCCAAACCACAGCAGCTCAACATAAAACATGGATCTCATAAAATGCAGAATTACCATTTGGAGGTAATTTTATCAAGAAACAGAAGAAAGAGAACCAGTAATTTATAGCCCCAAACACAACCTAGGAAGCCCTGTGGGTTATGGATGAGAGTTATAATCCTGTTTTAGCATAGTTAAAAGGAATAAAATGTGATAAATAATAAAAATGAGAAAATTCTCAGGTGCCTGAGATGACAATAAAAACAGTATAGTAATAATGATGATGACAGGCAATGAAGTTTAAATGGCCCTATGCAAGGGAAACACAGGCAATCCTCTGTCCTTACCTATTTGTGTGGGGGTATGCATGCACTTCTATGCCTATACACGGGGAGGGCACGGTTCGATGTTGGGGTTTTCTTTAAATGACTCCCCACCCTAACTTCATTTCTTTTCTTTCTTCTTTGAGGCAGAGTCTCACTCTGTAGCCTCGGCTGTTCTGGAACTCACTCTGTAGACCAGGCTGGCCTCTGCCTCATGAGTGCTGGGATTAAAGGCTTACAGATGCGTGCTACCTTGCCCAGCCTTTCCACCTGTATTTGGAGACAGGGTCTCTCACTGAACCTGGAGCTCACAGACTGGCAAGGCTGCCAGGCTAGCAAACCTGCCCCCCACCTCCCAAGTGCGGTGGGTTACAGCTGCACGCCCTGACCACACCTGCTTTCCATGTGGGTGCTGGAGCATCCCACCTGCACTTCATCAGCTGAGCCACTCTCCCAGCCCCTCCTTCTGTTTTGGGGGGTTGATCGTGCACTTCAGTTAGCCATGGTTACTAACCCTCACCTATGGAGTCACGCTGAAAACAGCCCTCACTGTACAGGTTTACAATGTGCTCTGAGCACAGGCAGGGAGGGGCGGCCAGAGACACTTCCTGGACAAAGTACATATTTCACTTGTGTTTTATACCATAAAATGTCAGGTTAACAAATGCAGTCTTCAATTATGGATTTTAATTTAGGCTTGGTCTTTAATTGAGAAAGATAACTTCGTTTTGTGCAAAGAAGAGAGAGGTAAGAAGTGCTAAGACCAGAAAGGAGAAAATGAACACGGAATGTTGGGAATAAGACGAAACCCAGGGACAGGGAGGAGCTTCTGCCTGGGTTTGGTGAGGCCTTTCCAGAAGGAAAATGCAAGGACGGCTGGGGACTGGAGCAGGTGGTGCGGAGTGAGGAGGGTGTGGGCCGCCCACCGCCAGCCCAAGCAGATGTGGACTTGAGCTGTGGGACCTTTTAGACTTCAAGTGGCAGAGAAGGGGGAGGGGGGGAGGAGGTGGAGGAGGAAGAGCACCCCACAAACTGACTGAGACAGTAGAGAGGAAGGAAGGAACCCAGGAACAACGGATGACAAAGTCAGGGGCATCAAGGACAGCCAGCCAGACGATGGCCCTGACACAACGCCCAGGAGGGAAGCGCGAGCTTGAGCAACCAGGCTTGAAAAGGGCTCCTGGACCAGACACCCAGGAAAGGCACAGGGGTGGGGGTGAGGGGGTCCCTGCAGATCACTGGGGAGCAGTGAGGGGAGTGAGATTATAGGGTAGAAGGGTAATGAAAACAGAGTGGAGATCACTGAACAGTTCTTAGACATGTTTAATCATTTTAAAGTGAGTCATCATTCAGAAAGCATCAACTGAGAATCCAGGGTTCTCAGAATCCAAGAGGCACTAGGGTGCTAATGGGGATGAGGAGTGTGTAGGAGATGTGTGGCCGTGTGGCATGGGAGTGCTGGCAGAGGGTGCTTTGGGAGCATGCTCTGATGGAAGACGGAAGGAGGTACAGTAACTGAGGAAGGCAAGGAGACTCAAAGCCATGTTCTAAAGTCTGAAAACAGGAAGGTAGGAACATTCTCCAGACCGAGCTTTGAAAATTTGGTAAATACGTAGTCTGTTAAACACCCTAGCATCAAGGGACCACTGTCCTATACAATGGGGGACTGGTTGCTTCTACTGTGGCTCAGAGAAAGAAAACAGCTTGTGTGTGCTGTCTGGGATATAACGTCAAAGCCCCAGAGAATGTCAGACACCCCAGAGCAAGACACATGGAGAGCAGGGCTCTACCTGAAGGCATGCTGGATGCTGTCTCCATTTCCGACTTCCCTGCTCCAAAGGAATGGGGAGACTTGCCTATGCAATGTAAGCTGCTGGCTCCCCTTCCTTTCCAAGTGCAGATGACTCTTTGTCAATTAAGTCCGCACGTGGTCTTTCTCCAGAGTATGCGCCCACGGTAACAGGCCCACCAACTCCCCGCAGGCAGCAATGTGCTTGGTCAGCCATCTGCTCCAGAGAGACTGGAAGCTGTGAGCAGGCTTCCCCCCCCCCCCCCGGGGGAATTCCACCTGCAAGCCTGCGCCCCTCTTCCCCGCGGCGACTCCTACCTCGGTGGGCTGGTCGGCGGGCTGCGGCAGGAGCTGGTTGTGGTGCAGGAGCACTGTCTTTAGGTAATCTAGGACGGTCTGGCAGGGCACTGTGGGGAGGAACAGCAACGGCACACATTAGCTGGCTTTCAACATGGGGGCGAAAACCTGGGAAAGGGGAAATCCTTTTTCTCCAATGGAGGCTCAGTGGGTATACCAACCAACACAAACAAACCCCATGTTTTTTTTCTTTTTTTTTTTGGTTTTTCGAGACAGGGTTTTTCTGTGTAGCTTTGCGCCTTTTCCTGGAACTCACTTGGTAGCCCAGGCTGGCCTCGAACTCACAGAGATCCGCCTGGCTCTGCCTCCCGAGTGCTGGGATTAAAGGCGTGCGCCACCACCACCCGGCCCATTTTTTTTTTTTTAAATGGACTTGCTGTCTCATTTTGTTTTTTTGTCTTACTGGTCTTTTGCTTGTTTGTTTTGATATTTGTTTACTTACTTTTGGGGGGGATTGAGAGCACAAAGCTGGGGAGGTTCTGGGAGGAGTTAGGGGAGGGGAAATGATCAACACAGACTGTATGCTCATCACATAATCTGAAGACAGACAAGGTGGAAAGGGAAAAGGATGGTTTGGGACAACAGGAAAGAGACCCCTGCCTACCCCTAGTCTCTAAGGGAAAACAGCTAAATACCCAGTCAGGGTCCTTCCCACACTGGAAGACTTCTACAGTAGCCCTTGGGCACTGCTGTTTCAGGTGTGCCGATTCTGACCTGATTTATGCAACCCCGGGCAAGTTACCTGACCTCTCTGAGCTCCCGTGCTCAAGCCTGTCCGACTGGAATGATTACTCCACATAGTTACTGTGAGGAACAACTGAGGTAATGACGTGAAGCAGAAGCAAAGCCAACTGGGAGCTACCAGCTTTTCAAGTGCCGCAGTCCAGTGAGTGCCTCAGAGGCCTCCTAACTCGGCTGCGACCTCAGTGCCTGGACTGGGTAAGCCACTTTCACGTAAGCCTCTTCTAAAGAAACTGTTAGTTTCGGTTTTCCCATATTAAGGCCGAGCGGGTCTTCAGCTAACAGTTTCAGTGTACCAATAGTATTAGCCATGTAGCCTCGGCTGGCCTGGAGCTCGCCATGCTCTTGCCTCAGCTTCCTGAATGACTGGATTACAGGCCCATGCTACCACACCCAGCTGAAATCTTGGTCAGTTTATCTCCTCTCCTCAAGCACTATTTTGTCTGTCTTCTTAGTCAAAGACTTCAAACTCCTCAAAATATTACTCAATAGTTTTACTGGAAAGTTGAATTTTTTTTAATTGCTGACAACCCTGGCTGTTATGTTTAATAATCTTCATGTAGCCTCACCATATTTATTTTAGTAACATATAATAAGTTCCTCAATAGAAATATCTCAAACCAAATGGTCAGCACTAAGTATTAGCCTCCTACAGCTGCATGGTTGGAGTTCAGATAAAGACAATGCCCTGTTTCAACAGGGACAGGGACATCAAGATGATAGGTGTCCTCTCTGCCCTCAAGCACTGTATAGCCCCTTATCAGGACACTTACTCAAGGTAAACACAGGCTTGAAAACAACTTTAACAGAGGTATGTATGGTGTGCTTGGAGGTTAAGAAAGGTCTCTCACAAGGAGGAATGTCTTGTTTCAACTGGGCACTGAAGAATGCACAGGAGTTTCTCAAGAAAAAGACAGCACATTTTGGGGGTGGAAAGAACTGGGGTCAGATAAAGTGTCTGGTTGCCCAGAAGTCCCAACTGTCGAGTGAAGTTGGACATTTGGTGTACTGTGGGCACTGAGGGTTGAAAAGTCTCTAAGAATGTTCAGGAAGAAAGTCACGCACAGTGGTGCCCGGCCTGTAATCTCAACTCTCGTGAGAAGCAGGCAGGAGGACCACCTTCAGCTACACAGGTAGTCATGGGACCCTATCTCCCCCGGACAGGACCCCAGAGAAGTGAAGACTGACTACAAGCAGCAGACACCAACCTGAGGCCTGCTGGCCTCTTTCTGAAGTCAGACACCGCTTCTAATCTGGAAAAGCACTGGCAGTCTCTGTCCTGCTAGGCACACAAGTTTCACGCTTCCTTTCTTGGTTAAGATGGGGGCTCACTACATATCTGTCGCACAAGGGTCTTGGACTCTCTCATGTCCAAGCCTTTTTGGCTCTTGGATTACAGACTTGCTCTACCAACATCTAGAAACGATTTTTCTTTCTTCTTCTAAGATTTGTTTTATGTGTCTGAGTGTTTTGCCTGCTTGTCTGTATGCACACCATGTGCATGCCTGGTGTCTGTGGACGTCCGGAGAGGATACTGGACCCCCTGGAACTGGAGTTATGATGTTTGTGGGCCACCACGTGGGTCCTCTGGAAGAGAAACAAGTGCTCTTAACTGCTGAGCCATGCCTACGGCGTCAGGAACAATTTTTCTTAGAGGTGATGCTGTGTTCATGAGAAGACGTACTGAGTCAAACACTCGCTAGTCCTATAATTGTGTTATTTTTGCCTTAGAGAAGGGCCACTGAGGCTCAGCACGGGCAAATGACGGTCAGGATCACAGCCATCAAGCAGCACCCGTCTACAGATGCAGCTACTCTTGGGGGCTTTAGTGTGCTCACAATCCCTTCACCCCTAACTGGTAGTACTGGTTACCCGTTTAATGACCCAGGGAACTAGTGGGGTTAGCTCTGCGCCTGCAGCTCAGTGAGTCACAACTCCTTCTTGGATTCTGTATTCGCAAGTCTGTGAAGTTGCTTGCTAAGGTATGCTTGGAACTCCCCAAACCGGAACTTTCACAAGCCATTTGCCGACTCGTGCAAAAATGTTTGGAATTTGAGTCGCCTGACAAATGTCCCAGCTGTGACGGTCTTGTTTCAGTTTTTATGCTGGAAGCAAGTGTCCCTGTCGTGGTTTATTTAGGGATGTCCCTTATATTTCTGTTTGGGAATTCCTTTTTAAAATGGCCCTCCACCGTGGTGCCGAAGTGCCAACAGCCAGCGCACAGAAGAAACAAGGTCGCACACTTCTTACTTGACGGCACTGTACAGAAGGCCCTCAGAGGCCTAAGCTTTGTATTTCTGCCAGAAGTAATGCCAGTGTTCACTAACTCCTTGGCTAATTCATACGGTGATCAGACAACGTTAACTACCCTGGCAGTGAGAACTCACTCCAGGCTGGAGGGTTACAAACTGGACACCCAGTCAGAAAGCCTGGACTACGTAACTTCCCATCTACAGCTGCTCTCCCGTCTACTATACCCCAACTTCCTTGTCTGTAAGATGAAGTGGACGGGTGGTGTGAGCCTGGAGTTAGAAGAATACATCATAATGACAGAACTTCGGCAGGGGCAATGGCCTGTGCCTATAAACCTAGCCCTCAGGCGGGGAAGGCAGAAAAATCAGAAATTTGAGGGCTATATACTAAGACCTTGTCTCAAAAAGGATGAAAGTAAGTTTTTCTTTTGTTCACATAAAGACAGGATCTCATTATGAAGCCTGGGCTAGCCTGGACCTCCATCTATAGATCAGGCTGGGCCTGAACTAAGAGGTCCATCTGCCTCTGCTTCTCCAGTGCTGGCAATAAAGGTGTGTGCCAGCATGCCTGGGAGAAGTAGAGGCTTTTATAAAAATACTGGCAATATTAATCCTGGGAAAAACTGAATTTTCTTCCATATTTTTTAAAGGCTTATTTTTGTTTTGTGCATGTGTATGCACCTGAGTGAGTAAGCACATGTGTGTGCTGCAATGTCTGGGTGCCATGTGGGTGTGGGCTGCAGGTCAGGAGGGTGTTGGACCCCTGGAAGTGGAGTCACAGACAGTTGTGAGCGGCCCCAACGTGGGTGCTGGGAACTGAACCTGCGTCCTCTGCAAGAGCGCCAAGTGTTCTTAACCTTTGTATGACACATCTCTCCAGCCCCGGAAACTGAATTAAGAAATTAGACTGAAAACTTATATACAAAAATCAACCACCGATTCATAAAAGACCGTAAATATTAAAAACTACAGAGGAGGCCTAAATAAATGTAAGACCAGAAACCATAAAATTCCTACCAGAGGAGGCAGCCAGGTCAAGGAAATGTTTTCCTTACAAGCATGAGGACCCGGCTGCAGCTCTGGCTCCCATGTGAAGGGCTGGGTGAGGTGTCGAAAGAAGGATCCCTGGGCTGGTGGGCTGGCCAGCCTAGCCTAAATATGAGCTACCGGCCAGTGAGAACCCCTCCCTCTCCCTTCCCTGCCCCGACCCCCTCCACATAACCCAGGCAGGAGCCAGGCACAGTGGTACACACATATAATCTGGGGACTTGGGGGCTGACTGTTTCAAAGAGGGCAGCAGGTGGGGACCCAACATGTTTCTCCCAAGACATAAAAATGGTCAAAATGCAGTCAATGAAAGGTGCTCGGAAGTCATTAACAAGGAAAACAAAACACAAACCCACTGCCAGGCCATCTCATAACGTTTGGAATGGACATCATCAAGTCCAAAGGTGATACACGTGGATGAGGGGGTGGAGAGAAGCAGCCCTTGTTCACTGTTAGTGACAGTGACTACTGTCCTCTCTATGCAGACTAGGGGGGTTTCTAAAGAAATTCAGCACAACACACCATATGACTTGGAATCAATCTCCCTTCTTTGAACACATTAAAAGGAAATAAAATTGCCACCCTGTGAAGACATCCACTCTGTGTTTACTCCGAAACGGAAACGACTTGACTTTCCAGCAACAGAAGAACAGGCCGAGGGAAGTGTTCAGGGGGCATTACTCATGTCTGGTCCAGTCTGTCTGTCTGAATTTTTACTCTGTATGTGTTCGCCTTCATTCGTGTGTACCACACGTGTTCCTGGTGCCCATGAGGCCCGAAGAGGGAGTCCAGTCCTCTGGAACAGCAGTTACACTTGGCTGTGAGCTGCCACGTAGGTGCCAGGAACCAAACCTGGGTACTGTCTGGTTCCAAAGCAGTGAGTGCTGTTCACTGCAGAACCACTTCCCCAGCCCGTCCGACCTAGCCAATGCGTGGCATCTTAAAGAAACCAAATAAGCCAGGCATGGTGGCACACACCTTTAATCCCAGCACATCTGAGGCAGAAGCAGGCGGAGCTCCGAGTTCAAGGCCAGCCTGGTCTACAGAGCAAGTGGCCAGCCAGGGACATACAAGGAAACCCGTCTCAGTGAATCCATTAATTTAAAGTTACTTTAAGTGGTGCACTTGGTGATCTTAGGACAGCTTTTCAGGCTGAGGATACAGTGCTTGCCTAGCACATGGGAAGCCCTGGGTTTATTCTCCAGCACCACATATAACTGGAGGAGAAAACAACCCTGAAAGCACCTCCCAGTACTCCAGGGGCAGGAAGAAGGAATTCAAGACTATCAGTGGCTACACAGCGAACTGGTAGTCGGCCTGAAAACCAGATTGTCTTAAAAAAATAAAATAAAATCCAAATACACACCCCACCATAGGTTTTCTTATTTTGATATCTATGGGCTTTGTATTAAAAAATAATTGTAACAGACAACTGTGATGTATGGTGCTACTTCTTCTCATTGGGGCATAAGGATGGGTATGGTTTACATTTCTTTCTTTCTTTCTTTTTGCTTTTTTTTTGGGTTTTTCAAGACAGAGTTTCTCTGTGTAGCTTTGCGCCTTTCCTGGAACTCACTCTGTAGCCCAGGCTGGCCTCCAACTCACGGAGATTAGCCTAGCTCTGCCTCCCGGGTGCTGGGATTAAAGGTATGTGCCACCACCGCCCGGCTTACATTTCTTGGCATGTCAGATTAATATGGAATTTTTATATTCATTCCCCATGAGCACTCTTAATTACTGTGACTGGGAGCTCAGTAGACGATACCCCACCTGACCCCCTCTCCATTGAGAAGCTCCACCCATCAGTGCTTCCTAATTTCCTCCCAAGCACTTCATATGCCTGGTCCAAGTGGCTCTATTTATTTATTGTAGTTTCTTCTTTTTAACCTGTTTTCATCTCTTACTAAAAAACTGAAAAAACTGGGACAAACTTCCAAATTCCTAGCGGAATGATCCAATACAAAAGGAAAAGTGCCAACGTCACTTCCTTGGGGTGAGCTGCCGGCACCCGAAAGGACCTCTCTGGGAGTGTGAGCACCTCCCAGCTTCTGGCTGGCAGACGCTTCACCAGCAACACACAGCACTGGTGGACGGCCCTCCCTCAACTGCTCTGGGTTGGATCGAACACCTTCCCTTCCTCTTGTGACCCCAAGTGAACGATGATGGGCCCGCCCCCTTTAGTTCACTTCTGCTCCAGGCTTTACTTCAGGGGAGACAACGAAGCAAGAACCTCCGCGTCCCGGCAGGGGACCCTGAAGACACTTGCTGCGTTCCCACTGGGCTATCTGCAGCACCTGCTCAACTGCTCCCCACCTTCCTCCTTCTCTGCTGTCTTCTCCTCTGTGCTGTCTGTCCCGGATGTCCGCTGTCACACACTGACTGTCAAATAGGGTAGTCTACAACACGGCCCCAGGTCCTCCTATGGGAACGCACTGTCTCTAGGACGGTGGGGTCCCCCTGGGCCCATTAGGGAGCAGGGACAAATAGAGTCACTGCTTGACAACACACATGGAACCACCTATCACTTTGTACTTTTCTTCAAGTGGGTGTCTAGAGGCGAGTTTTCCTAAAACTGCAGTCACTGAGAGTCAAGGACGGGTTCTTGAATGATCCCCAACTTGTTGCTCACCCAATGGAGGCTGGGAGGAAGGCAAGAGGGCAGTGCCACCCTTGCCTTTTGGTCAAGTTTCTATCTTTAGGTGACACTTGCAATCTCTTTCTCTTGATAGTGACCACATTCGACAGGTCATCACCAATCAGCTTGATGGTCTTCATTTATCTGTACATAATTCATACCTTGATTCTTCATGTGTATTGCTGGGTTTCCACAGACATAAGGATGACAGGGTCTCACGTAGCCCACGGCAGCCTCAAACTTGCTATGTACTTGAAGATGGCCCTGAACATTGACCCTCTGGCTTCTGCCTCAGTGCTGGGATTGATGTACCACCATGCCCAGCTCTCCATACATGTCTAAAGTAATCACAGTTCTGTGTGAAATGGCTGTTGGTTCGAGGTTCATGGAAAGTTCCTCAACAAGCCCGGGGTAGCCACAGTAACTCTAGTGACCATTAGACTACCTCAGCCAGCGTCATTCGGTATCTGATCATCAAGGGTGCTCAAGAAATTGTAGCATTTTCGCCTTTCTGGGAAGTTCAGTGACTAGCAGGCCACCAGCACCTGATCTGGATGAACCCCAAATTTGACAGGTCAAGAACATGTCCACATATTTATGACTAGAAATGACTAATATTCTGGACATTTATGTCACCTCTTCCTACACTCTGGAACGTGTAACCCAGGAGGCTGCTCTGAGTGGCTAGCTATGGTTCTGAACGGCTGATGTCAACCTCCACAGAGGCCCATCTCTACGACATGCTTTTCTCTCTGCCCTGAAGAGGGATGGGAATAAGATAAATGCTGGAGGTAAACTTCTAGTGAGTGGACCGTATCTGCAGGGCTGGCAGTGTGTAAAACCACAGTGAGCTAGCTGTGACCCCTCTCCCTGACCCGGGGATACAAGCGACAGTGTGGCTTCACACAGCTTCCCAGGTTCTTCTGGGGTCTCCTGAAGGCATGACAGCCGGCTGGGAAGATCAGGAAGACTGACTTCCCTGGCCTCTCCTTCCAAGACAAACACACAGTCAGATCCCACAACGTTCTGAGCCCAACCTCTGCTCCATTGGGAGAAGTCCTTTAAGAAACAGGGAAGGGAATCTTTAATTTTTAACTTGGCTCTCTCTATGCATATGTGTGTGTGTTCATTTTCCAGACAGATTTTCATGTAGCTCATGCTGGCCTCAAATTCCCATAGCCAAGGATGACCCTGAACTCCTGATCCTTCTGGCTCCACCTCCCAAGTTGTGGTACTGCAGGTACTCTGTTCTGTGTCCTAACAAACTGATGGGAGCTGTCCTCAGCATTTCCCTCTTTCTACACGAGCTACCAGTAACATGGCACATACACACACACACATACAAAAAGCCAGGCTTTAACGGAAGGCATAACCAGTTTACATGTATTTTGTATTTTCAACATATGAGTATAGCTGTTTGAGTACACAGTTAACCATAAACGTGAAGATTGTGGGGATGTGGCCCTGCCTTTATCATCGTGGAGGGGTCAGTGATTAAAACAGCTCAGAGATCTTGATGTAGCTAATAATCGTGGTGTCAATCTAAGTCTCCCACACACGGGGATGAAGTCGAAGACGCAAGTGAAATTAGTGCTTTTCTTTTTTAGAACCATTTTTAAATGCTGTACTTATTTTTATTTTATGTGCATTGGTGTTTTGCCTGCATGTATGTCTGTGTGAGGAGGTCAGATCCCCTGGAACTGGAGTTATAGATAGGTGTGAGCTGCCATGTGGGTACTAGGAATTGAACCCTGGTCCTCTGGAAGAGCAGCCAGTGCTCTTAACTGCTGAGCCATCTCTCCAGCCCACGTGTACTTTTCTTCACAGCAGAGAAAAAAGCACTAACAGCAAAAACTCAGGTCTTGTCCTAAGACAACTCCAACTCTAATACTATGAAAATGGAGGGTGTTTAAGAGGCAGGAACTGCTTCACATCAGGGTCACAAACAGTTTAATTAATGGTTTATCTTTGACCTACTAGTTTACAATTTCTAAATGAACTTTTCGGGGACGGGGTTGGACAATGAAGCAAGGGAGGCCAGGGAAAGGGCTGGACAGAAAAGACCATGTCCTTTCTTCAGTACCGAATCCCGCTAACGCAAGGGCGGTTTTGTTCACATTTGTACCAGGGGACACAAAGGCCGTGGTAAATACAGACCACTTTTAAAGGGCTCTCAGATTTCTAACAGCTGATGCACATCAATGTCGAGGCATCGCATCCAGGAATTACTTATATACGGATGGAGACATCTTTCATGAGGACTATGAAACTTCCATGGGCTTCGGGCTTAACCCAAAAGCATGTAACTTAACACAGACAAGACAGGTTAGTGCTTGTCCTGGAATTTCTGCCTGGACTGGGCAAGCCAAGGACATCTTACACATCCTGCTTTTTCAACTTTTCAACACCCTGGCTCTCACCCCCATCACTAAAGCCGCACACACATGTATACACCGAGGCAGTCAGGACAACTATGGATTCGAGCTGCTGCTGTCTGCTCAAAGTGTGGCTGCATACCTGGGATGCTCTCTAATTTCCGTCGGAGCTCTTCATTTTCTTGTTGTAACGAGATAACTTCCTGCTCCAGCTCCTGGCATCGAGGACAGTAGCCTTCCTCTTCCTCTTCTTCTTCCTCCTCTGGCAGCGTGGAGGAGGAAGGGTGACCATGGGACTCAGACGTTGCTGGGGAGGTCCAGCCACCTAATGTATGCACCGGGGAGGTTGAGAGAGGGTCCACATCAGCCAGGTGCCCATACTCACTGACTGATGAGGTGTTGGGAGTTGGGAAGCTCCCCGAGAGCAGGTAATTCTGGAGAGAGTCAGTGAACACTCTCAAAAAGGCAGAAGTTTGTTGTTTTCTTTGCATATATTGCATCTCTATGTCTATGCTGTCAGAGGTCTGACTCTGGATCCCTTTTGCGATGTGACACTGGTCCTGTCTTTCATTATAACTAGAGCCTTCCTGCTTGACGCAAGAAATCATGGACTGAGAATGGTTGGAGTCCAGAAGTTTTCCTCCACAATTTAAGAGACTAAGAACACGGCTGCACTGCTGGGCAAAGGCATCCAAGATCATACGGCTTTCTGGAATGGAAGGAGAGAGACATGAGTGACCAGCAGGCAGGCACGGAAGAAGCAAAGTCCTCCATTTCCAGCTTAACCTTCCAACACAAAAGGCCCAGTGAACCCACCACAGAAGGGACACACAGCTCCCCATTGTTCTGAAACCAGTGGGTGCCTGAGCCACCCCAACCCCTAACTGTGAGAAAAGGCTGGGAACTATGCGGAGAGGGCCCTCTCTGGCCTGCACCGGTCTGAACTCACACCTTTGACTTCATTAATATCCTTACTCTAATGAATCGAGCGGGCCACCGCAGACTCAATTCCTCATTGATAGGAGGCCATACTGCAATCATTACTGCTATTTCTGGAGTGCCCTCTTGCCCTTGCTATTCATCAGCTGAGACAATCCCTGCCACGACCACGAAGCTCACAGATGCAAACTGGAGAAGAGAGCCGAGTCCTTGTGAAGGGCTCACCAGAAATCTAAGGTAACCCAGAGGGCTCTACAGGCAAGAGGATGAGCGTGAAGCAAAACTGTCACTGGACACCTGCACTCAACAGTCTTCCTAATCTGGAACTCGTGTCAGTGTGTAGAGTGATGTGACAGCACCATCTGAAAATGGGCTGACGCCGGGCGGTGGTGGCGCACGCCTTTAATCCCAGCACTTGGGAGGCAGAGCCAGGCGGATCTCGGTGAGTTCGAGGCCAGCCTGGGCTACCAAGTGAGTCCCAGGAAAGGCGCAAAGCTACACAGGGAAACCCTGTCTCGAAAAACCAAAAAAAAAAAAAAAAAAAAAAAAACCAAAAAAAAAAAAAGAAAATGGGCTGACTCTCTGCTCAGAGCCATTTACACCGGACTGTCAAGTCTCTCCAAAGGGGCAAAAAGCGTGGTTGCCACGAGGCCCCCAGACCTCAATTCTAAGCACACTGTCAAGCAGTGGAAAGTAAAAAGGGAAGAGAAACCAACCAGCTTGCTACAGAGACAAAGGAAAAACCTCTCCCAAATCCTGAAAGCATTATTTAATGTTGTCCAATGCACCTGAAATGTGACTGAAACAGGGGACTCCTCCTGTTTGTCACCATGTAGACACATCTCACTAGTACAGAGTGACACTTTTCAGGCCATATTCAGCAGATTTCTTCTCCTTATGCAGAATAATGGTAACAAACAAAATATTGGAGAACTCAGGGGCCAGAAACTCTTATTTGTCATAAATATGTAGCTAGCTTTCTCTGAAAAACACTGGCTAGGTGTTTTTGTTTTACGTGGCCTGGGAAAGAAAAAGAAAAAAAAAGATTTCAAGACAGGGTTTCTCTGTGTAGTTTTGGTGCCTGTCCTAGATCTCACTTTGTAGACCAGGCTGGCTTTGAACTCACAGAGATCTGCCTGGCTCTGCCTCCCGAGTGCTGGGGCTAAAGGCGTGTGCCACCGCCACCCGGCTGGTTCTTTTAAGTAAAAAATAGTGAGATGCTTAGGTCTTCTTTGAGGTTGAGAAAACAGATGCAGTAAAAACCCCCAAGAAAACTCAGCATGTATGGGGAATGAAAACACAGCTCTAGCAGTCTGTGTTATCCGTGGACAGATGCATTGCCCTAGCTACTCTGGAGGCCAAACAGGAGGATCATTTAAACCCAGGAGTTGGGGATCAGCCTGGGCAGCAGTGAGGCCCCTTCTTAGGAAAAATGGGGTGGTGGCAAGAGGCAGGGGAAAAGAGGTTTTGTTTTTTTTTTCTTAGCACATTTTCATGAAGTGAGTAGGTATTAGGGAAGGGTGGTCCAAATGTCCTCTTTCAATTACTTAACTGGAAGACATAAAAAGAAAAAAAATCCCAGCAGTGCCCCCAGTGCACAGGAAGTATCCATCCCCCAAGTCTGTACAATGCTACCATTCTGGGGAGTCCTGAGCCAAACTCTTCTGTCCAAGACAGGATAGACTACACTGGGCTGGGAGAGTCGGGTTATTAGTGCTTCAAATATACCCACTCAAGAGTGGATCAATACATACCACTGATGAGATAGATCAATTGGGAAAGTGCTTGTCACACAAACACAAGGATCCCAGCTCTATCTCCAGCATCCACATAAAAAGATGGATGTGGGGGTTTATGCTTGTAATCCCAGCACTAGGAGAGGAAGACAGAAGGGTTGCCCTGGGGCTCCCCGGCCTGCCTGCCAGCCAGCCTAGCCTCATGTCTAATCAGTGAGACCTTGTCCACAAACAAGGCAAAGGCTGGGGAGACAGCTCGTGAGTGAACAGCTTGTTGCAGAAGCAGGAGGACCTGAGTTCCAATTCGAGCACCTGAACAGGAAGCCAGCAGGGCAGCAAACGCCTCTAATCCCAGCACCGGGGAGGCACAGACCTGGAGCTGACTGACTAGCCAGTATAGCTAAACAGTAAACTCCAGGTTCGGTAAGGGACCCTGGCTCAGGCAAATGGGGTGGCTGTCTGTACAAGAACTTCCTGACTCAAAAAGCCCCACCCTTAACTGAGGAGCTACTGGCAGTTGCTAGCTGATGGAGAGTAATTTTGGGGGGTGTGGACACTAGCACACTGTTCATTCTGCAGTGAACTGCCACATCCCCACGCTCAGGTAGACAGCGTTAACCGGACTTGGTGGATTATTACAAGAGAAGACACTCAGTGGGGAGATGCACATGTGGATCAGGACAGGGAGGAGGAGCTGGGAGGGGGTAACTGGGAGGGGGTAACGGGACGGGGGTAGATGCGGTCCTATTTCATTGTATATACCTGAGTTCTCAAACATAACAAACAGGATGGGACAATGGAGGAAGACACCCAGCGGTGACTTCTGGCCTCCCACCTGCCCCCCATGGTTGTCTGGGAGGCCGATAAATACAGAACTTTTCGTTTTTATAGTGTTTTCAGATTTACTTGATCGGGGCTGGAGGTGGGCACAAGACCACCACCACCTTTGAGAGACTGAAATCCCAGACTGCTTTCTTCTTGGTATACTTCCTTAACTTTCTCTTATAAAGAAACCCCACCTGTGTTGAGAGAGGTGTGTGCCACATCACATGTAAAGGTCAGAGGGCAATCTCAGGTGTCCGCACCTCTACCTTGTTTGAGCACTGCCCAACAGCACCCAGAGATTCTCCTGTTGCCATTTCCTATCTTCTATACAGGGGTGTTCGATTATAGGGGTGCTACAGCATTTGGCTTTACCTGGGTTCTAGAGATGTAAACCGAGGTCCTTACACTTCCAACCCACTGAACCATCTCTCCGGTCTACTTCCTGTTCCGGAGAGCAACACTACCCTACCCTTCCTCAGATTCTCCTGTGACTAGGTCAAGACCTAGGAATCCTTCCACAAACCTCTCAGAAGGCCTACGCTGGGCCCCTCACCTGAGTTCTCCAGTCAAATACACACCATGGTGCCAGAGCTCAGAAGTGTGGACCATCCCGGTGCAGATAAAAGGAGAATTGGCAGACACCACGGGGCAGCTCAGAACCCTGACACAAGCCTGGTCACTGATGAGGTGCAGAGTCCTGGGCTGTACCCATGTCCTCCGTCCTACCGACCCTTGGGTGCCATTTCTTTACTGACCTAAACCAAACTAGGAAGCCAACAGACCCACACAAGTGGAGAGGTGTCCCACTCTCCTTATTTTACTTCCCTGTTTTTGTTCTTTTATTGGTAAAATCAAAGGATGGTATTGATCGGGAAGGCTCAATTCTAGCACAAGAGCAGTTTTCACCATTTAATCCTATAATCCCACGCAAGACCTTAAGTTGTATTTACTGTTTGCATTTTAATCAGCGCAGTCCCAACTGATTTACAGCCCACACCTTTAACATAACCTTGACAAAGGGACAAATGAAAAGGAAAGGCTTAAATAGAACCATCTAGAAAGAGCTGCTCAAATACATTTGTTCAGTGTCCTACAAAACCCTGAGTAGTTTTAATCATATTGATGAATCGCATTACAGCATAGATTTTAAGGGGGAAAAAATCTGACTTAGGGACAAGCATGATTTGTTTTCTTAATTGAAGGATAAACTCATAACATGCTGAGAAAAAAAATCATTATGTAATATACTACATTATGAAGATAATCTATTAAAGTGCACTCAGAAAATCAGGGAACAGCGACGGTCACCAAATAGTTCTTGCCTGCAGACCTGAAAAGGCATCATTCTGAATTTGCTCTCAGAACTGATCCATAGAAAAACGGCAATTGTGAACCTTTAAGGTTGAATTTTCCCTCTTTTCAAAACCTTGAAATATCTGGGCAGTATATTTTAACACCAACATACAAAAGAGTGTGATAAAAATATCACCACTGGCCGGGGTGGGGTAGGGGGAGAGAAGGGCAATGTGTACCACGATCAGCAATACTTTAGCTTTCTGGACAGACTAAGTCAGAAATGCAGGAACTGTGCAAGCCCCTTACCGCTAAGAAATGGAGAAAAGTTCCGTTTCCTATGAATACCACTGTCTTAAGTGAGCAAAGCATAAACATGGATTTTCTTAACTTTTTTTTTTTTAAGTCTCTCGTCATTGAGTGCCCCATACTCAGGGGATAGCAGAGAAAAACAAAATCAAGAGTGGACAAAGGGACTTTAAAAACATCTATCCCTAACTTCCCCACAATGTTAATAAATCACAGTTCCACAGCCCTCTGAATGACCACTAATTTAGTATGCTTTACTGTGCACCCACTGAGAGAGAACACTGTGTTGTGTACTGTGCCCACCCTGATTCTGAAGTCTAAACTCATGGTTATTATTATTATTTTTTTAATTAAGATTTTCATTTCTTGAAATTCTTTTGCACTTGTGTGATCTGAATCCAGCCTAGGAGGCAGGATGGGAAGCAGGCAATCAAACATCGCCTCTTCTCTCTACTTTGACGGCCTTCTTCCCAGGGAAAGCTGCACACAGAATGTGTCCATCATAGCCGACCCCTCAAGAGAATTGCGTCTCTAGGAGGGAGATCACAGAACTGAAGATTAGTGGCAACCTTTTGATTTTAGCTCAGCCAAGGGTAAAATATGTTAATATTAAAGATGCAGGAGCAGAAAAATTTTAGCAACCTATTATGTATCCACACATTACATCTACCAAAGGACTCCCAACTAGTTCAGAATAGAGGATTCCCTTAAAACATTAACTTCTTCTTAAGAGGACTACATGGTGTGGTACAGGAGACGGAAGTTAGGAAATTAAAGCGTCTTGGAAAACAGCACCCTTGTCTTGAATCAGTGAAGGATGTCTTTTTTAAAAAAAAAATGCCATCCATTTTTTTTTCATAATGGCAAACGTCAACACAGCAAAACAGGATGCAATTTTTCTAAATAAATAAATCAATGATGTGTCAAAAATTAACAGATGAGTTAATATACTCGGTGCTATCAAAAGCAGGTGGTGCTTCCTAATATGCATCCTGCTCAGTCAATCCCTGAATATTTTCTGGACCATCAGTATATAAAATAGGATGCTGCTATTTGTGACGGCAAACAAAAGCAATCATGCCTGCCAAGCACATACTAGAACAGGCAGCATTTCAGCTCTGCTAGACAGAAAGTAATTAGAATGCTTTTAATGTCCAAAAGAATGATGCTGATAGGCTGCCACAGATGTGTAGATTTATGAATATTTATATGGTGGTTTATGGCTGACACTTTTATCAGTTGAAGAAGATAAAATATCTGCCTGACTCAAAAGCTTGACAGTCAGGTTAATAAAATCTCATTAAAGAGAATGACCTATGCAATTATATAGGATTTATTGTAATTCATTTTTGATTGTACTCTGCTTAAAGATGCAATTTCCCATTTCCTGATGCCAAATTTAGGCTGCATATCAAGATCTACGTGGGTTTTAACTCTAAGCCTCCCACAGAGGAAAAATATGCTTTTAAAAACCATGGTGTATTACCCCTTTTAAGGGAAATTATACTCTTCATGAGATTTTTTTATAAGAATGTCGAAAAATCTATTTTTAATCACGTATTTCTTTTCTTAATGGCTTGTAGCATTTAATGGCAGATAAGATTCACTTCAACCCTTTCATCTTTTCCCCACATTCACCCTGGACGGTCAGCCATCCCTCTTCTATGCCGAGCTCACACATCACACTGCTGTTGGACTATTTTCAGCTGACAAGGTGGCCCCGAACCCTCACCACAATTACATGTGAGATGGCAACAGGCAAAGCCCCACCTGCCCCGCCCCGTGTGTTTAACCGGCCCTGGTGAGCACACAAGCTCATTGGCTCAAAGTGGCCCCATTAGTTCCTCCAAGAACCAATCAGCTCTCCATGTGGCTGCCCCTCTGATGGCCACTCACATCACTGTGCCTGTTGAGAGAGGGTCTGTCCATTAGTGATTAATATTGCCTTAATTCTACGGCTCCCCCCTCTGCGTCCGGAACATTCTCTGTGACACACAGAAGAAACCTACGATCCAATTCCCATCTTTCCAACACCACTAGGTAGACATCCAGCACACGCTCCCATCCTATCGACCTCACCCTGGAGACCCCACTAACAAACAAAAACCAACAATTAAAACAAAACAAAAAAACCTCCACAAGAAAAAACCCCAGACCAGAACAGCCCTGAGAAAACTGGTAATATGGGAAAGTTTGGGGGGAAAAAAAGCCCCTTCCTATCTTTAGATTCAGTGACAATGGTTTCTAACTTGCAACAGAGATAAACTAAAATAGGATACTAGAAAAAATACTCAGAGGAAGAAAAAACAAAACCAAAAAAACTCCAAATGAAGATGGCAGAGAGACTTCCGGAATGAAAGCAGCCATGGAAAGGACGATAAGAAACTGAGGCTGAAAGAAATCACCCGGCGACTGTGGCAGGGAAGAGCAACATATGGATGAAAACGGTAAGGAAGGAGTCGGTGGTCAGTGTTCTGGAGGAAGGAAAAGACCGTGACAACCGCCGTGAACAAAGTGCATGCCCGAGGACAGAAGCAGGCAGAGAAGGGGTTCATCCCCAAAGCTGTGGTTGGAACCAACATCATACCAGAGTGTAAAATACAGGCAATGGGAAAAGGACCCAAACTACGGAAAGACAGCATACAAAAAACGCTGAGCTGGGCTAATGGGTACACTCAAGTGGTATAGAGATTGACTGAGGCCTGAGAGCCTCTAAATAATGAGTTCCAAGCCAGTGTGAGAACAGCCAAGACTCTATTTCAAAAACCAAAACCAAACAGAACACAACAGCTGGGGAGGGCCTAAAAGTGAATGTGAAACACAATGGGTGGGATACTAGGGTAAGGGCAATGAAAAAAAGAAAAAGAAAGAAAATCACCTCAGAAACATTAAGGAAGCCATGTAAGAACCCCGATACAGAATCTCTACCATCTCCAAAGCAGGGGGGATATGACAGCAACAACTCTTCACTGTAACCTGTAATTGGATTTTCTCTCTCCAAACCAATCCTTCACACGTCAAAATATTGACAAACAGCGGAGCTCTTAGCATGGGCATCTATAACTCCTTCAGAGACAATGCCCGCCTATTGTCACTAGGGGAAAAAACAAAACAAAACAAAACAACAACAACAACAACAAAACACCACCAGAAAGTCTTAGATTCGCTGACAATCAGAAGCTGGGAGGCTCCTAAGTGCCCTGAAAGGCCTGAGCAGGGACTTCAGTTCTGATGAACCATAAACGCGGCTGTTATGTCCTTCCCCCTGGAGCAGAGCCGGTGCAGGCCATGCTCAGTGCTCTCGCACTCCCTGGAGGAGGAGATAGCAATCTCGACCTCTGGATGGGCGAGCCCCACGCGACTCAGCGACACAGAAACCAGCGTCTCCCAGGCTGGGTGGGTGGGGATTGGAACTCTGCTCTGGGGATGCCCTCGAACCCGCGGCTGGAGCAGGAGCGACCCTCACCAAACAAACAAACAAAACTTCACACACACACACACCCCCCCCCGCCCGCCCACAACCCAGCCGAGCACCAGGTCCACGGCCGACTGCGAGCGGAAGACCTACGTGTCTTCGCCACGGATAAAGCGAGGGGTGTGCGCCATCAACACCGGAGCGCACAGAGAAAAAGAAACCCAGAGACCTCCGGAGGCCACCAAGTGGCCCGGGTCCGGCCGAGGGAGGCGGGGATCTTCAAGAGGGCGAAGGACAGGCCCTTCTGGGTCAAAGAACCGCCTAGAAGGAGAAGCAGGCGGCGGGCGGGAAAGGGGAAGTGTGGAAAAAGTCGAGCGGCGGGGGATGAGATGGGCGTCTCGGTGGAGTCGCCTCGGCCTGCTGTCCCGGGGCCTATCCCCTCCCCAGCATCCACCACCCCCAGGGCCTGCCATCCCCGCGGCCCCCCCCCTCCCCGCACCCAGCCCTCCCGGCGGCGGCGGCCCAGCTGCTGGGCCCGAGCCCGCACCCGGGAGCCACCTGTTAGGCGCGCGCGCCGTCGGAAGCCCGGGCCCCGCAGCGGCGCCGGGAATCTTTCCGAAGTTACTCCTGCCCGAGCGCTGCACTCGCTCCCGAGGCCTCCCGAGGCCCACCGACCCCCCGCGTGCACGCACAGGCCTCCCCGGACCCCTCCACCCTCCCAATCCACCCCAACCCCCGATCCCCACGCCACCGCCGGAGCTCCGCAAAGTTGCGGCCGGGGACTCCGATACTTGCAACGGACCCCCCCACCCCACCCCACCCCCTCCACCCCCCCCCCACTCCCCGGGTCCCCCACGCCACCGCCGGAGCTCCGCAAAAGTTGCGGCCCGGGACTCGGTACCTGCACTGAGCTCCAGGCTGGCGCCGTCGCTACCCGCGCCGCGGCCGCCCGCGCCGCTCACCGGGCCCGGGCCGTACCTGACGACGGCGGCGAAGGACGACGACGACGAGGCGGCGGGGGCCGTGGGCGGCGGCGGCGGCGGCGGCAGCGGCGGCGGCGGCGCCGGAGTCCTCGGGTGGCTCGGGGGCGCGGCGGGCGTGCAGGACGGCGACGACGACGAGGCGGCGGCGGCGGCGGGGGCCCGGCCTGACCCGGCCGGGTAGGACGGCTGCGTCGGGAACGGCGGCGGCGGCGGCTCGCTGCTGCTGATGGGCACGGCGGCGAGCGGCGCGAAGGGCGGCGGCGGCGGCGGCGGCGGCAGCGGGGACGGCCGCGCGGGCGGCAGCTCCAGCAGCGTGGGTCTGTCGTAGCGCTTGGCCAGCGCCGGCCGCCGGCTGCTGGGGAACGTCTTGAGGACGCTGTAGGGGCCGCGCTGCTTGTAGATGCGGGGCGCGCTGGGCCCCTCCTCCGCCGCCTGCATCTCGGGCTCCATGCCGAGCCGCAGGCCCTGCCCGCCCCGCGCGCGGCTCCGGGGGTGGCTCGGCCGCCCGGTCGCCTGCTCTGCCCCGGCGCGCGCCGGCGGGAAGGCGTGTGTCTGAGCCGTGGCCGCCGCCGCCACCGCCGCCGCCGCCGCCGCCGCCAGCGCCGCCGCCGCCGCTCCTGCCTGTCGCCGAGCCTGGCATCTCCGAGCCCCCGCGCGGGGGGCTGCCGCCCAGCGCTGATTGACAGCCCGCCTCGCCAATGCCTGGAGGGAGAAAGGAGGCAAGGAGCAAGTGTTTAGGGTAATATCTGCTAATGATGATGGGGGGCGGGGCGGGGCCTGGCGCCCGGGCGGCCCGCGCGATCGGAGTCTCGGACAGGGTCGTGGTGGTGGTGGTGGTGGTGGTGGGGGAGGAGGGGACGGGAGGCCGCGGCCCCAGGGGACCCGGTTGGCGGGGAGCTGGGGGTGGGGGTGGTGGGGTGGGTGCAGCGGGGGATCGGGGGTCGGGGGGGAGAACGGAACCTGGAGGGCGTCCTGGTGGGGACAGGTGGAAGAGGTGGGGGTCCCGGGTCTCTCGGCTGTGGACGTGAGGCGGCCGCGATCGCCTGGCCGGGTCCGAGCTTTGGGAGCGAGTTCCCGGCGCCCTCCTGCGTGACCTCCCAACTCTCGGAGTGCACGAAGGGGGTGGTACCTAGAAGTTAGGGCGGGGTCGCCGGAGTGCAAGGGTGGGACGGTAAGTTCTTCTAGAAGGAAGCTACACTCACTCTCTCTCCACCCCCCCCCCCCACCTTCGGAAAAGAAGATCTTGAAGGACTTGGTATGGGCTGCTGGGAGGTTTGTCCGGCCTTAGGGTCTTGGCTGCTTGCTGTCTGGCGGCTGAACATGAAAGCGCTCAGGGCCTGGTGCTTGCATACTGTTTTCACTTGCTCTCCATAGGGGGCTGGGAGAGAGCCAGAGGGGGCGCCGTCGTTTCTCTCCATTCTACAGATTTGAAAGCTGAGGCTCTGCAAGATTAAAGGGAATTATCCAGATCCACACGGAGGAGGAGCGTGTGAGTGAGTTGCTCGGATGCAGGCAGGTCTTCAGAATTTAAAATAGCTGGTAGACCGTGCGATTAAAGGGAACAAAATGACCTCACGCTTCCCTCGGGGATGGCGACTGCCTTGAACATTATTATTATTTATGCATATACTTTGCACGACCAAGGTGGCCTGGGATCTCTCTTCCTGCGTTCTCTCTTCCTGCGTTGCTCATTCTAACTGGCGCCACCAGGCTCGGGGTTCTGGGGAGCACAGGATCTTAATACTTGTTTGAATGAAGGAAGACTCCAGTAATTTACAGGAGGAGCCTCATAAGGTCCTTGAAATACAAGGAAGGGTTCTGGCCGCTGCCAGTCAGTCCTTTCTATCCCAAAGGAAACATCCTTCATTTGGGCCTACTCTAGTCCCAACATCCCCTCCTCCCAAACTTGGGTGCCAGCCTCGTTCATCATTATCCAGGTCCTTGATGGATGACCCTCATCCCTCCAATCTGGGAATTACTTTCTTATTCAGAGCTATCCGTTTAGTCTTGGGAAAGTGACCCATTTTCTTCTGGGGTCCGGGTCTTTGACCTCTCATCTCCCAGATCTCCCTTCCTTCGGAAGAAGTCTTCCTTGCTGTTTCAGAGCCTGTCCCCCCACCCCCTCGTCCCCAGACTGCCTTCCTCTCCTCTGCAAGCTCCTCAGATGGTGCTGTACCCCTCCTCCATTTATTAGAGATGAAATAAATAATGCCATAAATAAAAGTATTTGGGAGTCCAGGAACTGTCAGGGCTGATTAGGGCATAGAGGACATTTTCTTTCTCATTATGCAAAAGCATTTCATGGGGAAATAAAAGAGGTTTCATTGTAACTCATGCATGTCATATTTCAAGGAATTCAAGATATTAATCATATTTAACATTATTTGCAACGTTTCTTCTCCCTGGCTTCTGAAAACTGCTAAATGAGGACACGTGGATCACCAGGAAGAAAGGGAGAGGGACAGTTAAGAAATAATGAAATGCTGGTGAAAGACAGAGAGGGAGATGCCAGAGAGATGCTTCTTAGGCACATAAGTGAGAAATGGGGGAGTGACTTCTGAGACGGGAGGCAGACGAAACTGAATGATAGACGGAGGAAATAAATGATAACAAGCCTCCCCACACTTTCCTCTCTACCGAGCAGCTCTGGATTTTGTACTGAAATCTTTTCCCTCCCACTTCGCTCCCTGGTAACTCCTAGCTTTTGAAAAGAAGTTAGGGTGGCGATGGTGGTGGTGGTGGTGGTGGTGGTGGTGGTGGGGTTTGGTGGGAAGAAAACCTTCAGCCCTCTGGTAAAGAGTTGATTTCTTGTCCCTGGGGGTGGTGGAGCTATCGCTTTTATGCAGATTTATTTATTTATTTATCTAGGATTTGTTAATTTTATTTGCATGAGTGTGTGTATGTGCACTGCATGGGTGCCTGGTGCCCGAGGGTCTGGAACTGGTGTCACTGATGGTGGTGAGCCGCCATGTGGGTGCTGGGAATCGAACCTGAGTCCTCTGCAAGAGCCACAAGCGCTCTTCACCACTCAGCCATCTCTCTGGCCCTTAATTATTCTAAATGTATGCCATCCTTGCCACTCAAACAGCTTGAGAGACTGGGAGCGGTAGTTCCTTATGTTTTACTGGCTAAAGGGACCATCTATCATTTATAGCCCAAGTGGCCATTTCTATAAAAGCAAATACTGAAATGAGTGGTTGCTATGGTTGGGATCATCTCTAAACAGACATGTTGGGAACTTAGTCCTTTTAGTCTAGGGAGGTGGGGCCCCAGGGCAGGCATTTATTACAGAAGGGCTATGTCAAGCCTGGATTGGTGCCTGCTATAAAAGAGAGCGGGGTTGTGAGTTTGAATTCTCGGGTGCTCATGTAGGTGATGGCCTCTGCCACATTATGGTGCATGTTACAACAAAAAGTTTCTAAGCAGGTGTTGTTGCCCATCAACCCTGGACGTCTCAGCCTCTGGAATGGCAAAAACAAAGCAAAACAAAAAACCCCACCTACTTTCCATTCTTTGTAAATTGCTTAGCTTATGGTATGCTGCTATAACAGCACAAAGCAAACCTTGTAAAGGTAATGAGTAGGGGATTATTGCAACAACGGTTTCTTTACAATGTAGGAATGGCTTGGTAGTAGAGTATGGAAGAATTGGGGAGCATACACGTGAAAAGGCCTAGGTTGGTATGAATGAAGCATTGATGGTGACTCTGGTGAAAACGCAGAACTATAGAGAAAGCGTGGGATGTTTACAATGAGTTAAGCAGTTTTGATCAATGGTAGAAAAGTGAGGTCTGGTGACTCGCACCTGTAATCCCAGCGCTAACCCCCTAATCTAGCACTCATTTGGGAGGCACGACCAAGAGGCCTGACTTGTAATACATATCCACACCCTATCTAAAAAAAAGAAAAAAAAAGAGGGAGGAGAGAAGGCAGGAAGGCAGGGCAGGCTGATGGCGAAGGGCATTCTAATGAGTCTCCAATTGGAGTGGGGAATCAAAGCTTTAGAAGCTGGAGTACAGGCCATCTTGGTTCCACAGAACTCTGCCTTCGGAGTGTGTGGAAGGCAAAGCTTCTCCATAAAGAACAATGAAGTACAATGTCTGGCAGAATAAATATCTAAGCAGCCGCAAAGCCTTCAGAGGGCTGCATGGCTTCTTTTGGCTGAGAGACCAGAGACGTGATTTAACGATGGAATTTATAATTAAAGGGGATGCAGAGCAGAAAGATGGGGAGATTTGCAGCCTGGCATGGTAAGAGTGAAAAAGCATGCCCAGGAGAGAATGCTGTGGGTAGAGCCGGTAACCCTTTACTCAAGAGATGATTGGGATTCCCTTGCTCAGGGTCTGTTCATCAGGATAATGAGACAGGGGCCTTAACTGAGATCTTTGAGACAAGCCAGCACCGTGAAGACAAGGTTTCCAGAAAGGTGTCTGTTGCCCAGAGCCACCTTGGAAGGCTTCTGCGTTCTGGCGCAGCATTCCTGGGATACTCCTGATATGCCTCAAGCTGGGCCAAGTTAGATCAGAAGGGCAGAAGTGGTGAGCTTTGAAGTAGCTGTGTGTGCTGACTCAGTGTAAAGCTGGGGGACCAATGGTCAAAGATATGTTGGACAGTTTGGGACTTCAGGCAGGGACTTGTCACAGGGGCAGGGTTACCACAGAAAACCCCAACTCGGGCAGTGCCTAATGTAGGCCTGGGAATAAGGTCCTCTTTAAGGCCTCCCCCAAACTGTAGAGTGATTGGTGTCCAGCCCTATCCTGGGAAAGCTGAAAGCAGAGGCTGAGCAATGGGTACCTGATGCTTTGGGGGCCAAACAGTTTAGGGCATCTAGGAAGTGGCAGGTGGTTATTCTGGAGTTTTAAGATTTAAATGTTCACTGGGCAGAGGTGGTGCATGCCTTTAATCCCAGCACTCGGGAGGCAGGGGCAGGCAGATCTCCGTGAGTTCAAGGCTAGCCTGGGCTATTGAGTGAGTTCAGGACAGGCTCCACAGCTTACACAGAAACCCTGGCTCAAAAAACAAAACAAAACAAAACAAAACAATTAAATGTTCACCCCTTTGGATTTGGATTTGCCATCTCACCATATTTGTGGTTTTGGGATAGGGTCTCACTGTAGCCTAGAATGGCTCTGAAAGTTACTGTGTAGCAGAGTTCCCGACTAAAATTTGAAGTGATCCTCCTGCCTCGGCCTCCTAAGCACTGGGATTACTGAGTGCTGGGGTCACAGACCTTAGCCACCATTCTCGGCCCATAGTTGTATTTTGGAAGTCGATAATACAGTGTTTGAGTTCACTGACTCCCAGATGGAGAAGAATTGGCCTCAGGATGAATTAAAGTACCTGATTTAGATGCCAGTCTTGGACTTCGGACTTTTAACTTGCCACTGGAATGAATTTAGACTTTGGGGGCTTTTGAGATGGACAGTTGTCATTTGTATGTGAAAATAACTTGCATTTTGGAGGACAGGGGCAGAATTACTAGTGATTTGAATGTGTCCCCAATATCATGTGGTGGAAACAATCCCCAGTGTGACAGAATTAAGAGGTAAGGCTCAATGGAGGTGGTTGGTCCTCGGGGCTGTCCCCTCGTGGATGGGATGAATGTGGAGTAAAGGTCTAGAAGCTTCCAGGGCATCTGTTGCTTTCCCTCACCCACATGATGCTGTCTGCCATGTTACAGCATAGGAGAGGAGTTCTAACTAAGAGACCTGCACCCTTGGGCTTCCCAGTCTCCAGAACTAGAAGTTAGAGTGTTTATAAACTACCCCATCTCTGGAATTCTATTATAGCATCACAGAAATGAATTAAAACGGTGGCTTAAATCCCAGCACTCGGGAGGCAGAGCCAGGCGGATCTCTGTGAGTTTGAGGCCAGTCTGGTCTACAAAGCGAGTTCCAGGAAAGGCGCAAAGCTACACAGAGAAACCCTGTCTCGAAAAACCAAAAAAAAAAAAAAAAAAAAAAAAAAAAAAAAAAAAAAGGTGGCTTAGCTTTGCTTTTTGAAAAAGGTCTTCCAGAAGAAAAAATGTTAGAAATGTAAAGTGGTCACTTTAAAAAAAATTTTTTTTAAATATAATTTATTTATTTTTATTTTATGTGCATTGTTATTTTGCCTATATGTGTGTCTGTTTGAGGGTGTCAGACCTTGGAGTTACAGGCAGTTGCTAACTGCCATGTGGGTGCTGAGAATTGAACTCGGGACATCTGGAAGAGCAGTTAGTGCTCTTAACCACTGAGCCATCTCTCCAGCCCCCAGTGGTCACTTTTCATACCTTCACACAAGGAAGTTCCCTAGCCAGCATCACAGGAAATGGCGTTCTTAGCTGAGAGAGAGCTCCCGAAAAGAATCCTGACAGGTCTCCTGAGTTCAGTCCTCAGAAGAAAGAGAGGGAAAGAAAAACAGTCAAGTTCTTATTAATTACCCCTAGAAAGTAAAATGGACACTCACTCCCAAGTGTGGAGCTGTATACCCCTTTACACTTGGGACTGCTGCTCCTCCCACCTGGGTTATTCTGAACTCAGAACTGTGTGTGAAGCGTACAGCAGAGCTCCCTGAAGAGGAGGCATCTATTGTAGTAAAGATCCTCAGACTGCTTGACCTTGGCTGACTAGAACACTGTGGCTGTGGATTGATGGACACTCAGGGCCAAAAGTACTCCGAGCCTCTTAGGATCCTTCATAGCCATTTACTTTCAACCCCTGTGTCTGGCCTGACATCCTTGTGACCAGATTAAGCTCTCAGTGTGTCACTAACCTTCGTGGACCTCTGGCTTCCGCCAATCTCTTAAGCTAAGGAAATTCTAGCATCTCAACCTGTAGAAAGGACTTTCTGCCTGGCAGTAGCTCCTCCACAGCTGTCTAGTGTTTTTGTGTATCTGTTTATCACCTTCCTTGTTCCGTGGCTGTGGCTACCTGGAACATGTTGTTCAGAGAAGACCAAATCTGTGTCCTGGACCATGGTCACTCGTCTTTGGCTAAGAATAAGCTGTTTTCTTTTCCCCTTGAATGCAAATCGTTGCTTTACAACTCTTGGTACAAATGTAATAGAGCCAAGCACTTGCACAGTCCTTTGTAAGTAACACTCAGTAAACATCTTGCTCTGCTCGGTGGTCTAAATCATCGGACAGTGACTTTGCTGCTGCCTGTTCTTGGGTGCTTTACAGAGTCTGCTAGGATGGCAATTACATTCCTGCTTTAAATCTTTTTAGATATTTACTCTTATCTCAAAAATAAGAGATGGTGAACTTTTGAAAGCCAAGGGGCTGTATGTGGACAGGGTACATTTTTGATTGGCAGGATGTCAACTCCTTGAGCCATCCAGAATATAGCTTTTAAATAATAACTCAGCCATGGGAAATGCTTTTTATTGCACCAATTTCAATGATATTTAATGAGCTTCTGATTGACTGTTTGATCTCCCAATGTTTTGTGCTACTTTTAATTCATTTCGTATAATAGAAAAAAAAGTAATTGGAATAAAATTTTGTGACAAGATAATGACCTTCCACTTTGAAATTAAATGTCTGATTAGCTTCAACATTTTAATGCTGAGATGCTGCAGCAGCAGGCGGAGTGTGCGTACTGTCTTTCCATGGAAAGTGTCTGAGGAATGGCTTTGTTTATTGTAGAGCCGAAGGGTGTGGTGACTCTGGAGTCAGACACACAGGCCTGGAAGGGAAGGACACAGTCTGACTGAACCGGTGTCTGTGGTTTGTAACAACTCTGACACGTGGTTGTACAAACCTTGCTTGGCTGCCAGAGATGGAGATCTCACTATCTCCAGATACAACATCCGTTCACCCAGCTGTTAGTCAAAAATACGTACTGTGTGTCTACTATGTGTTAGGTGTCTTTATGGGTTCTGAGGGATGTAATGGTGAAACAGATTCTGGGGGCCACTGAGGGAATGAGGAGCAGATAACAAATTAGTCACCAGGTTAAAAATATTTGTTGAGAGACATAATTATTGAGAAGAATGGGGTAAGAGTGTTCTCATTCATATTATCTCTTTTTCTCTCATGTTACCCAGGGAGCCTCAGACTTGCTATGTGGCAGAGGATGACCTTGAACTTCTGACTCTTCTGTCTGTACCTCTCAAGTGCTGGGATTATGGTTGTGAGTTTTTGTACTGATGGGGAGTCGAACTAGGGCCTTGTGTTTGCTTGGTAAGTACTCTGTCACCTGAGGTACACCCTGAAGCCTGTATGCTGATTAGTTTTATGTCAGCTTGACACAAGATAGAGGAGTCGTTTAGAAGACCAGACCCCAAATGCACCTAATAGGTGCGTTGTCTAGATTATAGATTGATGTTGGATGGCCAAGCTCACTGTAGGTGGTGCCAGCCCTGGTCCTGTGGTTCTGGGTGCTGTAGGAGAGCAGGCTGAGCAAGCCATAAGGAGTAAGCCAGTAAGCAGCACTCTTCCATGGCTTCTGAATCAGTTCCTGCCTCCAGGTTCCTGTTCTGACTTCCGTTGATGATAGAATGTGATGTAGAAGTGTAAGCCAAATAAACCCTTTCCTCTCCAAGTTGTGTTTGGTCATGGTGTTTCATCAGAGCAGAGGAAACCCAACTAAGACAACGGGCGTTAACTTTGACAAATGGCTGATAGTTCACTTTGGGAGAAAACCAATCCATAACAACAATCCAGGGCAAAGGACAACAGGTACCACAGCCGTTGGATGGGGTGATTGGAGGAGCAGAAAGACAGGCAAGAAAGAGGTTAGGAGTGTGAGGCAAATGGCAGAAGGCTGAGCAGAAGAACACCAGGACTCGTTCTAACTGCGGTGGGACTCGGGCGGGGGGAGTTAAGCTGGGGAGTGACATGACCAGGTTTACGTTCTTAAAAACTAATTTTCAGGAAAGGTACAACCATAACTCTTATACAGACACAAAAGCAAAGGTGTTAAAGATTTTATTTGGCTTACTTGGTAGCCTCATGGTTTCAAAGGAAATTATACGTTAGTGTAGAATAAAGGAAGGTTAACGAATGTATAGATTCATTTTCCAGGGGAAGCGGGCAAAGGAGGGAGCCTTTTCCGATGCCTAACAGTTCTCTAAGCTTGAAAAGTTAAAAACAAAACAGCGAAAGACATTGGGAGAGTCCCGCCAGGGGACTACAAAAATGAGTCCCCATCGCAGTTAGACCAAGTCCTGGTGTTCTTCTGCTCAGCCTACACCTGCGCTCAGCCCCGCCTGCTGACTACAAAAATGAGTGTCAGGCCTGGGCGGTGGTGGCGCACGCCTTTAATCCCAGCACTCGGGAGGCAGAGCCAGGTGGATCTTTGTGAGTTCGAGGCCAGCCTGGGCTACCGAGTGAGTTCCAGGAAAGGCGCAAAGCTACATAGAGAAACCCTGTCTCAAAAAACTAAAAAAAAAAGAGTGTCATTCCACGTGACAGTGTCCTCATGAAACACAGTGTTTTTTTTTTTCCTGCAATGTTGTTTAGAAAAACAAAAGCATTTTTAAGATTATTTTAGATTCACGAGAGGTTGAAAAAATGATATAAAGAAATTCCAGGTACCTTTCATCTATTTTTTGCAAGGAGTACACCTTGTGTTCTTCTCGATATGTCCTTTGCATGAAATCTATGTCCTTTTGAGGTTTTTCACTTAGTTTAATATCCTTGAGACTGACCCATGTGTGTTGCATGCATCAGTTGTTGCGGGACGTCTTTCTGTACTCTATGAATATGTGTTACTCCCATTGACTAATAAATAAAGCTGCATTGACCTATGGCAGGGCAGGATGGAACCATGTGGGAAAATCCAAGAGAGAGAGAGAGTGTAAGGAGAAACTAGAGTAAAGGGAGACGCCAAACCACCCCACTGTCCAAGGAGCAACATGTAATGGGATGCCACCAAACATGTGGCGATACAACAATTAATAAAAATGGGTTGAGTTATGTTATAAGAGCTAGCTAGTAAGAAGCCTGAGCCATAGGCCATACAGTTTGTAAATACTATAAGTCTGTGTGTTTACTTGGGACCAAGCGGCTGTGGGACTCGGGTGGGAAAAATTCATCTCCACCATGGGGCCAGGTGGGGACCAGAGAAACACGGGACCTCAGACTGGGTAGGACGGGAGAAACTTCCAGCTACAATCAATAGTTTCTTCCTTTTCACGACTGAGTAGTAGTCTGTGGTGGGGATGTACCACAGGCTTTTGGTCAGTCCTCTTTTGAGGGACTGTTAACAGTTTGGGGCGATGACATGGGCGCCCGCTCTGAACAATCGTGTGGGGTTTTTGCGTGGAGGTAAATTTTATTCTCCGGGGCCAAGTGGCTGAGAGTGGGTGTGCCTTACTGTGTCTTCTTACTTTTTACAGGATCTGACTAGCAGAAGAGACAGTTCGTTTCCAAACCAGCCGCTTCTGGGTGACTGACCATGCTTCTGCCGGATGTAGTGACACACGCCTTTAATCCCAGCAGAGCCAGGCGGATCTCTGTCAAGTCGAGGCCAGCCTGGTCTACGGAGCGAGATCCAGGACAGCCAGGGCTACATAGTGAGACTCTGTCTGTCAGACAAAAACATAACAAAAACCCCACACGTATAATCGGCTTCCATTCTCCCCTCCACTGTCGTGTCCATCCATCTGTCCGTCTGTCCCCGCCCCCTGTATCCAGGGTGAAATGCAGAGTTGCAGTTGCTGACGAAAGGTCCTCATGATCTGCGGCCGCCACCCCTGGTCTCTCGAGGCCATTCCTTCTCCCTCTCTGTTCCTGTCCCCACTCCAGTCTTACTGGTCTTTTCGAACAGGGCAAAGGTATCTTACGGGAAGTGCTCTTTCCCAAGGTGACCGTCCGCACAGCTCTTCCATATCTCCTGTAGACTTCGCTGTGGCATCCCTGCTCAGTGAGGCCTTCACTAGGTCCCCTGCTTACAGCTGTGACCCTGCGCGCGCGTGCGCGCGCGCACACACACACACACACACACACACACACACACACACACACACACATACACACCTTCCTTTCTGGTACTGGCACTGTCTGTCATGCTCTTGAGAGGAGATTATAGGCCCTTACGGGAGGTTTGCCGAGTCCACAGTGTGTAGAATAATAATAGTGCCTTGCACACGGTAGAGGCCTGATGAACTTGTCCACAGTGTGTAGAATAATAGTGCCTTGCACACGGTAGAGGCCTGGTGAACTTGTCCACAGTGTGTAGAATAATAGTGCCTTGCACACGGTAGAGGCCTAGTGAACTTGCTGTGTGAGGGAATGAGTTTAAGGGCTGTGGAAGCAGTTGGAGGAGACGCTAGGTGGACATGGGACACAGTGGCAGCGGTCACGCGAGAAGGAGAACACAGACGCACACGTTCTGTTGTGTTCAGCTCTGAGCAGTGGAAAGGGGGTCTCTGTTTTGAACTTAAATTTTCTCGCTTGCTTCGCCTGCCTTGTTGGCCCTTCCGATTACACAGGGAGGCTCAATCTTCTCCTCATTCTCTCTTCCGAATGGAGTCTGTGGCAGCTTCCTCTCCTTTCTGTAAAGGAGGGTCTGTAGAGCCTATTTGGGAAGGTGATACCTTTTAAAAGAGTGCATAAGGGCACTCATTTTTAAAAATCGAATTACTGGTTCTTTTCACTAATAGTATTCTAGATTCATGAGAGAAGCCCAGGTCCTGGGATCCCCTGAGAACCGGAGCCCAGGCCCTGGGTTCTCAGAGCCTAGGACCCAGGTTCCCCTGAGAACTGGAGCCCAGGTCTCAGGTTCCCAGAGCCTAGGACCTGGGTTCCCGTGAGAACTGGAGATGGTCTGGTGCAGAGTAGACATGCATGCTCCTGAGATGTTATGAGCCATCCGCCTCCATGTTCCTTCTGCCTGTTCAGTTCCTGTGTCCATTCATCCTGGTGGAGCCTGCCTGTTCCTTGCTAGTCGGCATGGCCCCAGAGGTTGTCAGCTGTGTGCAGAATGTATTTTTTTTTTTATCAGATTCTGAAGTGTCGGCATTGATCGCCATTGCCTAATTGGGTCTTGATGATGGATCGTTTCATCCGTGAACACCCCCAGTATGACAGTGTGAGCATCACTTCCCTTGAAGCAAAGAGGACTGGGGAACAAAGAGTTGAAGAGATTTCTCCACACTCACAGCCAATTTGAAGAGTTTAACTGGAAATTCTTCTGTTTAACCAAAGTAGCCAGCATCCCTGGTGAAGATGTGTAAATTTAACCTTTTAGTCTCTTCTTCGTTACTTTCCTTCAGTTCGTAAAGAAACATCCCTCTACCCCGAGAGCAGAAATCACCATGAACAGAAATATTCAATGTCTGGGATATTTAAGAAAACAAACGGGATGTTGAAGCGTAGGAAAAGAAGAAAAAAGAGAGTTTAGAAGATAGATAGCAGAGTGATAAAATGTGTGTGAGCCAGTTCTCAGGTTACTATGGCAAGATCAGTTTCCCTGGCCTCTGCTAGCTCTCTCCCTACCTAAGGACTATATTGTAATTGAATGATCAGGTCATACTCAGTTGTAGTGTTTAAGCCAAGGTTTGATCTCACAGTCACAGGAGCATGGCCTTCCACGGAGAGGGTCCCGGAGTGAAGCAGTGAAATACATCCCTAGATACTGGCAACTTTAGTTTTTGTGATAACACATAGAATATATAAATTAATCCATGCCATTTGTCCCCCGGCCCAGAAAGCAACTGGGTTTTTCTGGCTGCTGGGGTATTTCATAGCTTGCTAACAAAGCTGATGTGGAAACCAATAGAAATACGTTTTTATTGCAAAAAATTAATTTTGTTCTAAGTAATTTTTTTCACTATCTAGGTTGCTAGATGCTTCGGGTCTGCCTTCAGGGCTAGGAAATGCGCTGTTTTGTTCTAAATCTCTTCTCTGTCTTTGTAAAGCAGCTGGTGTTGACTTCGAGAGTTGCATGAAGATTAAAAATGACTTACTAGGCAGTGAGATTGCTCAGGGGGTGAAGACGCTCGGTGCTAACCCTGATGACCCGAGTTCAATCTCCACGGCCCATGGGACAGAAGGAGCGAACCGACTCCTGCAAGTTGTCCTCACACACTAAAATAAATAAATTAAAAAAAAAAAAGAATGAGTTACTGTTTCTTGCCACTGAGACTTCTGGGGGTTTCTCCTGACCATTGTGACATCAAAGGTGACTGTTGACAAGGTCTTAGCTGCTTTGTTTTCTTAGGCACTTTACGAGCTTCCTAGGGCTGCTGGAGCAAAGTACAACAGACAGTGTCTTGAACAAGATTTATTTTCTTAGGGTTCTCGGGGTTAGAAGTCCAAAACCCAGGCTGCATGCCATATTGGGTACATGTAGCCCAGACACCCAAGAAGGCTGAGGCAGGGTCACTAGAGACCAAGAGATCAAGGCCAGTCTGGCGAGCACAGCAAGACCCTATCTGTATTATTGACTTTTCTTCTTGTTCTGAACACAGTACTTGATCAAAACACTTTAAAAAGGAGGAAGAACGTATCTGGTTCACAGTCTTAGAGGGTTTGGTTCGTGATTGCTTGATCCTGTGTGCTTGGGCAGAGCGGCATGGCTCCAGCAACAGATGGAGAGCATGTGTGAGAAGAGAGCTGTAGCTTCATGCTGGACAGGGAGCAGAGATCGATACCGGAAGACCCAAGAGCAAAAAAAGACACCCTCCCTCCCCCGAGAACGTTGACAGACTTCACGCAACCGGCTCCACCTCCCATCCTCTGACTCCTTTCAATAATGCCATTATATCAAGAACCCAGCAAAGAATCAGCCCACTCTTCAGGTCGGCACCCTTATTATCCAGTCTTCTCGGGGAAACCCACTGCAGACCCAGCCAGAGGCGCGCTTGACACGTTTCTCAGTCTAGTCAAGTTGGCAAGAGGACCCAAACAAACAGCATCAGCAGGACTGGTTTCTTTCTCTCCCTACCTTCTGCTGCCTGGATGCTGGCAATCTCCAGGGTCCCTACCCTGGTCCCGGCCTTTACCTTCACTCGGCATTTCACACTGTATTTGTCTTTGTGTCCAAGTTTCTTTGAAATTGTTTGGTTTATAGTACTTTCTTACTGGAGTCTTGGTAAATTAATACATGTACCATAGACTATTTAGGTTGCACCGATCTTTACTATTTAGCAGAATGAAAAAGGGGGGAGGTCAAATCTCGATTTTTAAGCTTTTCAGAATGTTTATAATTTAATCAATCTGGATGGAAGACTTAAAGGTGCACACAGCATGGGCATAGCAGTGAGCTCTCAGTAGGCCACAGGACACAAGGCCAATGTGCGTGTCCTCCGCAAACAGACATCACCACACATCTGGCAACATTGCAGGGAATGCTAAGGACAAACCGTTCCCTGCTTTTTTCCAGCCCCACCATCAAAAATCATGGGCAGCAAAGTTAGTCTAATTTGGGCCCGTAGAAAAATCACTAAAGATATGCTTAAATATAATGAAATCAGCCAGTCTAACTGTCTGGGAAAGAATTTTGAAAATACTGATAAATGGACCGCTTCTCTAGATTAAAATCAAATCTCTGGGATGACACCTTGGCATTGGTAGTTTAAAAATCTCTCTAGGAAGCTAGGTATGGTGGCTCATGTCTAAAATCCCAACAGTTGGTAAGGCTAAGGTGGATTGCCATGAGTTTGAGGTGAGTCTGGGCTACAGAATGAGACCTGTCTCAACAAAACAAAACAAAACAAAACAAAAACCCCTTTAGTCTGGCTGGCTGTTCTGGTGTTCACTGTATAGCCTAGGGTAGCTTCAAACTCATAACTATTGGCAGCCTCCTGCCTCAGCCTTCTCAGTGCTGAGGTTATAGCGTGTGTAAGCAACCATGCCTGACTACACAGTTATTTTCAGAACCACTGTTTGAAGTAACAGCATTGTACACATCCAGGCATAGGCTGATCACTAGGAAGACCAGGATGCACTTGGGATACCTGGGCACATTGTCATTTGTGACTAAATACACATCTCTGAGGATAAAGGTACTGCAGTTAGAGAGCAATCACATTTTCTTCATGTCTGTGCTAGGGACAGAGCCCAAAAGAAAGAAATGAGTTCAATGCAGAGGACCGAGGCTCCAAGGCAACATGTTTATTGGTATAAAAGAAGCCGAGACCTTTCTAAGAGAGGGATATGCATTTGGCACAGGTGGGCGCCTTCCGTGGGAGGTCAAGGCAGCAATTTAAACGTTTAGTTCTTTATATTATTACACTTGGTTGCAAGGGACAGAAATCCAAGTCAGACTAGATTGAAGGTAGAGGGAATTTATTGGGTCCTTCCATTCCCAAGGTTTCTAAGGAAGGAAGATGTCCTTCGGACAAGAAAAAGGCTCACCCATTGCAGAATTCTCTCTCCATCTAATTCTCACCTCTCAATCAGCAACCACAATCTACGACAGAAAGACAGCTGCCCCAGCTGTCCTGGAACCTTTCATTATTGACTGAATCATTCCATGGGTAACCTGGGGTCCTCAGGACAGCCTTGGGACTGCATATGGGGAGATAGGGTTTCCTCACCAAGGAATCCTGGGTAGACAAACACACCTGCTTTCTCCTGTATCTTTGAGAGAAAGGAAATGAAATGTTTCTCTTTCAAACTTGAATAAAAACCATTTCTGAGAGTGATAAAAATGTTCCCTCAGCCAAGTAGATGGCCTCCTGTGCAATTGTAAGGCAGAATGAAGGGATAAAGGCCATGGATGTCAGAAGTGGTGATCAGATGAATTTTGATTTTGCTCTCCCTAGTTGGAGGAGTTCAGAGGGGTTGATCCAGACTAGTTTGTTCACAGACTCGGGAGTGCACGCAGACTGTGTGTGTGTGTGTGGGGGGGGGGGGTGTTACTTCGGTCGTAGAGAACCTGACCCTTGAACTTAGGAGCACACAGGTCTTCAGAGCTGAAGCTAGCGTAGGTGTTCCGGACTTCACAGAACTACTTTCAAATACAGATTTGATTTCCTGTGGAGTAATGTTGAGAGCACCCCCACCCGGTATGAGCTCATAAACTGCTGCATGCAGTGGGGGAGTGAAGTCCAGTGGTAGAGTCTGGAATTCGGAGGTTGTGGACTGTGCTCAGCACTCTTGGGAGAAGCAGTTCCACAGAGAGGTTAGGAGCCCGGCCTTCTGGAGCCACATCGGCTGCTTCACTCTGCAGCAGGTTTGGGTTCCTGTGTCTCTGAGCTGGTGTCCCCATCTGTGGAGGGGACAATCCTAGTGTGCGCTTGGCTGCATTGTTCTGAGGAACCTGATCAGTGCCCGGCAGGGCACGGAGAGCAGTTAGAAAGATTAGCTCTTCCTCCTTCCTCGACCTCCTCCCCCTGCTCCTCCCTTCTCCAACCCCCTCCCCTGCATCTCCCTCCTCCAACTCCCTGCCCGCCCCTCCCTCCCTCTGCTCCTCCCTCCTCCCCCTCTTCCCTGCTCCTCCCTTCTTTGACCCCCCTCCCCCTGCTCCTCCCTTCTCGCTCTGCTCCTTCCTCCTCCAACCCCCTCCCCTTCTCCTCCCTCCTCCAACCCCCTTCCCTTCTCCTCCCTCCTTCAACCCCCTCCTCCTGCCCCTCCCTCCTCCAGCCCCCTCCCCCCTGCTCCTCATTGGCCGATTCAGATTAAGTCCTGGGTGTGTACCCCCAGGGCTTCTGACAGTCAGCATATGCTCCTGGCCGGTTCTACAAGCCGCACAAAGTTCTTAAACTTGGGAACCAGATCCCCGGATGCAGATTCTCATTCCACCCTTGTGTGGGATATCCTGCGTGGGTTGTATAACCCTAGATGGGTTAGGCATGACAGTGCATCCATTTTCCAAGCGGAACCAGAGTGACCCCTCGAGCCCCACTCTTACATGGGATGAGTAGTCCATGATTGCCTGCTGTCCCTACCCCCTGCCCGAGGGGAACACAAGGAGGGTAGGTGAGGCCACTCAGAATCCACCCCGGTCTTTCTTTGCCCCGTTGGCTGGCAGGGTTTCAGTAAATGAATGACACCCACCCTACACTGAGATTCCTGGATCTCCTAGTTTGGCCCTGTCTGGCTCCCAAGTATTTGCTATTCTGGATTTCAGAAAATAGTTCAGTTGCCAAAATTGGTTGAATGAGCTACTTTTAACTGCTTTGCAGGGTCGTTCTAACAAGTCTCCTTCACAGAGGCATCCTGCAGGATAATGTTTTGACAAGAGCTGAGGACTTAGAAAGTTAACATCAGGAGACCTCTTCTGCCGTCCCCTCCCAGGAAAACAGACATTCCCTAAGTCTCCTCCCAAACTGGAGGGGCAAGATAAATGAAGGCTTGGATCTCCGTCAGGGAATCTCACACCCAGGTATCCAGAAGATGGAGACTAACACCTCAGGTCCACAGTGAGGTCCTCTGTGGGCTGCTGGTGTAGTCCTCTCTGGATGGCCTGAGGCTGTAACCTTAGCTATTTAATTTAAAATTGGTTCAGGAGCTCATGTTTATGGATAAATGAGCAAAACAGTAAAGGTCAAAAGCAAAAAATAAAATTACTATGGAATTCAATATTTCAGAAGCCCGAGCCCAGTGAACGTTAGTGAAGTGTGGTGTTCGGGACAGAGGCCCCCACTTATGATAATGCGCCTAACAAGGAAATGAGATCCACACTGCGATTCTCCCGTTTCCCTGTCCCCTGAGGTTAGAGATTATGCGGTGCATGTTGCTGTTTTTAGCTGCTTTGGTAATTCCTAGGGTGAGAGACACGACACTCTGCATATTTGTCACGTTGCTCTTTTCTCAGGTGCCAGGGTCTTTGAGGTAGCCCGGAAAATGCTGTTCTCCTCTGAGCGATCAACTCCCTCCCTCCCCAACCCGTAGTTGCCTAGTGCCCCTTTTCCCAGGGCTCCTTTCTTTCTTTCTGTTCAGTTGCTAGGGAATTCCATGAGTCTGTCTAGCAGCACTCGGTGCCGGGTGAGAGGCTGTCTAAGGGAGCCCTGGATTGATAAAAGGCTTATCTTCGTTTGATGCATCTTGCATATCCCAGGCCTCTCAGCAGGGAGGGAAGGTGAATTCGCTGCAGGGAGCTCAGCAGGAGGATGAGTGAAGAGCAGGCTGGGTAGGCATTTTTATGACAAGACAACGTGGCTTGGGATCCAGCGCTTTGACAATTGATTTTTTAGAGCTGGGGACTTGGTAACAAGTGTCCTCAGTGAACCTAGCTGTTATTAGTCAGGGTTTCCCAGAGGAAGAGAACATCAGTCCATAGGCTGGTAGAGAGACAGGTAGATCTGACTCGGTTTTATTGGCAGTTTATGATGAAACAAGAGAGAGCTTAAGGGCTTAGCACTTTTTGTTAAGGAGATTAGAAGATACATTCTGATCCCCAAAGCCGGGGCTGTGCTCAGACCCGTCCACTTAGGATTTGAGGGATGTGCTGCCTGCCTGCCGTATATTCCAAAACCCAAGGCAAGTTGCACACCTGAACAGTGTGGCCCAGGAGCTGCTTCCAAGTGTGGCCAGGAGTATGCAGTCTAATTCATGAAGCAGCTCACAGGAACTTTCTGGAAAGTGAGTCGTTTGTATTAGAAACCATGTTACACTTCCGTGCTTTAAAAAGAAACCTTCAATGGTCCAAGTTCATTGTGGAAAAGGCAAAAAGAAAAATACAGTTTAACAACAAAAGTATTACCCATAATACTACTATCCACAGATGGTGACTGTCAACACTTTGACTCACGTTCATCTTGCTGTTTCTCTTTTTTTTTCCTTTTTAAAAAAAATATGTGTGTTTACATGCTCAGTAAGTAAGGAATTCTATCATACAGCTTGTCTAAAGACACACCCCCTCCCCCCTTTTTTTTTTCTCCTTTCTTCCTAAAAATGCTAGCGGTGGCTTAGGGGTGTGGACAGGGAGCTGACCGGTTTGAGTGATGAGGTAGTGTGGAGTGTTTTATTTACATGGCCTTCCTCAGTCAGGACACCAGCCCAGGAAGCCAGCAGCAGCAGCAGCAGCAGTCTCAGGCCAGACCCCCGGGCACTTTTTCTGTGCTCACTGACCCTCTTCATGCATGGAAACTCTGTTCCTTGTTTCTTCGCTGTCTTTTCTGGCAGATGCTGCAATGTTTTTAGTTTATAGCTTTGTGGGGTTTTTTATCTGGA